GCTCTGTGTCTACACTGGGGAGACTCACCCATTATCCTGACAACGGAAGTGATAGGAAATCCAACATTTCACAGTTGTAGCCAGACCAAGGTATGACCGTTATGGCTCGTGTGCACAGGTGTTGCTGTCAAAAGCTGTCTTTTACATTGAAACCCAGTGCAGCTCAAATGTATGCAAGAGGTTGTGTTTTACCTGCTTTACCTGCAATGCAAACCCATCTTCAATAAGATGCTGCGGCCAGAGAAATGCAGTGTAAAGCAGGTCAGAACTGTCTTCCACATTGTACCATTGAGATATCTACTGACCTGTGTCAGTTTGCAACTCATTTGAACAACGCCAATGTACAGAAGCCCTCAGCCACTTGCCACTGGTGGGAGCTGGCCCACGTAGGAGGCTGATGGGAGGGGCTACTGATCATTCGTCCCCTGCGATTGGCTACACAGTGTTGACGTAATTGGGAGGCCATCCTATCCACTCCCGATCATCAGTAATTGACTGTGAGCTGTCAGTGACAGCTCAGTCACAGTTCTTTCAGCAATAATTGAGTTCACCCCAGAACACCGCGACCCATGTATGGATTATGGGACCTTATTCATTAAGGCCCATCTGTCGGCTTGCCGCATATTAAAAACAAAGAGGTTAATTTTCCTATGAGAACACCTGTTCAAGTGACAACTGTCTAAGAGGTGAATTCCCCTCACTTTTTTTTTTTTTCGACACTTCCTCTCACTTCCTGTTGCGTCTTTGAGACAGGAAGTAAAGGAATTAATGTAGAAAAGGTCACTCGCACTCCAGATTAATTTCTAGGCAATGTTTATTGACCTCATCGTCTCTCATCGTATCACACTGTCAAGCGGCGTTTCAGAACCACGCAGTTCCGAAACAACTTATTGTTTGCCTGAAGACGGAACTGTGTGGTTCCGAAAACCTCGCTTGATAATGTGATACGATGAGGTCAATAAACATTGCCTGGAAATTAATCTGGAGTGTGAGTGACCTTTTCTACATTGATTTATTGATTCACGGAGGCATCCGCAGTCACTCTCTTTGCACCCACCCAACTCCAACGGGTTTTTTTTTCCCGGTCAGGAGTGCGATGGGTTTCGTTTGAATATTGAAGTGAGAAAGTAAAGGAAATCTCCCCAATGGGAAAAATGAACATACAGTGGTTTTAACACAACTCTATCCTCCAGAACACAGACCATAAACAATTACCTGACAGTTTTTATAACCCTACTCTATCCAAAACTAAAAACCAAAATTGGATATACACTTTCCATGAAGTCTTCCTTTACCACTATTTGTTCTCTGTAAATATAAAGCACACTGCACTGGAGAACAATAGAACGAAGGGCATATTTACAGCTTGATGGATGAATGATTTGCAGATCATTTGCTGCTTACTGCCTTCAAACACCTGTTGGAAGATTTCCAACATTTAGAAAACAGGTTCACTGACAGCCATCCAGCCAATGGCATCGACCATATTTAAAACATAGACAATGATACATTCATCATCCCTGTTTGTTCTTTAAACTGACCCCCAGGCAGATATATATAAACAAATAAGGACTAATGCAGTTAGCTGTATGTATTTTTACATACAGCCATCATAAATACCTGAATCTCTCCTCCAATGGCTGGGAGGGAGAGGGGGGCAATCAGGCTCTGTTGCACACATGTTTGCTGACAAAGGAGAGAGTTGTTATTGTTGTGTTGCCCAGTCAGGAGGGTGCAGACAGGAGGGTGACACCACTGTGTTCTTTACCTGTAACAGAGAAATTGGTGTCACCCTTCTGGCTGGCTTGGCTGGCAGTGGTGTGAATCACAAAAATTGATGGGCAGCATTAAAAACCCTTTGGCAGATAACACAAGTTACATTTATGTATTTCAACTATGAGTTTAGTCATTTGCCCCGTATTCAGCTGAACCTTTGTTTTTTATTGCTGTATGCAGTCAGGCTGCATAAACAGTAACGTTTTGTTTTTACTGTACTATTTTGCCGCAGAGAGGGGTAAAATGCTGGAGATCCAGACTCTGTGTTTAGCAGGGATCCAGATCTCCAGTCGTTCAACACGTCCCGTGTACAATGTTCCAATCAACAATGCTGATTATGGAGCGTGAGCACTATTGATTGGAGCGCAGAAGGCATGCAGGGGGGGCATTTAAACATTTGCCTTTTTTTTTTTTTTTTTTTTTTTAATGTAAAATCTCTGATGTCATTACTTATTCACCAATAATTCCTACAGACAACCCGCTGTGTTTGATACCACTCCCTTATCACCAGATCCTGTTCCTGCATGTTTAATGCCCTGTGGATGAGAATTTTAGCCTTAAATGCTCTATTGCATAGCTGGCATTTAATTCCAGCACGGTAAGATTTCATAGGTACAGGAAATAGTGAATACAAATGAATCTCAGCAAATAAAGAATTATGAAAGACAGATAACCTCGGGTGACAGCTCGCCAGCATCAGAATCTCTAAGAGACCACTTGACACTCTATGGAATTGCTCAATTGCTAGTGGGGAAGATTCAGCAATATTTGGGACCAGTGAAGGAGAGATTCCACAAAGGAAAGTAGAGGATTTTGCTGCGTGACTCTGAAAATGTAAGATGTGTCGCTACCGGCAGAGTCGCTCATGTGACAGCAACCTAAGGGGTTTCAGCGTCCCAGCGTGCATTTTGGATTGCTGGGCCTCCGGTGCGTTCGTGCACCTTTTTGAGAAAGAGTAGGCTACTTCCAGGTACACCTGCATTAATATGCTCCAACATGGTGACTCATAAATAGAGTTAGGACCGACCACACTTCACAGAGGAGCCTTGAGGAGGCAGTGTGGCTTCTACATATTTTTGGCCAAAGGTTTGTGTAACTTAAACCTCTGTTTTTAACACATACTGTTAGACGGGGTAAATTGTTTTGCTGCAGGCTAGCTGGCAGGTGTGCTGGGGACTCTTTTTGTGTTTTGTATTGTAGGGTTTCAGAGTCTCCCCTGCAACCTTCCAAGACAGCCAGCAGAGGTCTAGACACATGATGCCAGGCGGCAGGAACACCTACTTTCTAAAGCCCAATATTAGTGTTTGCATTATAATTAAAGTAGCGGTAAGTAAAATATGCTTTAACTTATGACCAGCATAAGCAAATCTGTAACCTATTATCACTCAAAGCGAAACAGTGTTCTACATATAGTGGTTAAGAAGCCACATAAATGCCTAATTTTACATTATTATACAAAACACTTCTAAATATACAAAACGGTTCATGTCAACATTAAATATGTACTCTGCCCTATAACTTTGAAAGCACCATTTCTAATAAAATTTGTAAAAAAAGACATAACAAAAAAAGGTCATTTCTAAAAATCAGATTGCTAAAAGGTCGCCAGTATGGGAAGGGTTAGTATGTACAGAAACAAGTGCAAAATTTGAGTGTGGTGTGTTACAGCAGGCGGCCCAGGTATTCCAGGTACAACAAACTGCTGTCACTCCTCATTTGTCTATGAGTCCAGCTTCCTTAATTTTACCGTAGAAGAATTTCTCCAGGATGTTCGCACATTTGAAGTATTCACTTTCTGGCGGGTTGTACTCTCTGCAGTTTGTAAAGATCCTCTGCAAGTCTGCCATAAATAACTTCTTAGTGATATAATATTTGTTCTTCACCCGTTCGCTCATGGTTTTCAGGTCTGTGTTAGAAATATAAAATATGTAAATTGTATATGTTCATCATGTGGTATAATATTACCATGATATTACACAAATATAGATTGCAAGTGATGTACAATTCATCAGCAAACTGTTTGGGCTAATTAACATAGATGTCAAAACGAAGGCCCAATGCAAGGATACACCTGCCAAGTCTGAAAGGGTGTACTGACCTGAGCAATTCAGTACACACCTCTGTGTTTATTGGTTTTTGAAACACACAGCATTGGTCTGAACATTGCATGCCATCCCTATCAATGGCGTTCCCTAAATGAAATGGAGCTTCCAAATCTCCGTAGATGGCGGAGGGGCTCCTCCACACCCTGCACTCAGGTGAACAAAGCGAACCCAACGCCAGCTAGAGGGGGCATTGTAGCTTTATTGTGAGGACACCTTTACAATTGAAGAAATAATAGGAAACGGTATGCTTAATGAAGTCTATTTATGGTGGTGTGGGGACCAATTCATTTTGGAAAGGAATCACCTTCTATTGTCTCCCCATGACACGGTTCTGGAATCTAAGCCTTAAAAGAGAACTATGGGGTAAGTGTTTGTAAATCTGTAAAGTTAGGTCCACTTTAATAGATGGCTCGAACATTAGGGCCGCAGGCTAAGGGCAATAAATTATGAGAAGCTTACTTCCAAATTGTAAAAGAAAAGTCCCACAGAACTCCAGTTCTGGGTCATGTGACCTAAAGCCAGCATGTTATGTTATAAGATGCGTAACAACCCTGCAATATAGGTGCTAAATTCAGCAGAGTATTCATTCACCTTCTTTGATGTTAGCACCCCAACGCAGACGACCACAGCTCCAGGATACGTGATCCAAATAGGAGTGCCATGGGACCTGCTTTTTTGAAGTTCAGATGTAATCGATTCTTGACTTCATTGACTCTTCTCTCTCTCTCCATAATGCCTGTCTAGTCTATTAGAGTGGTTCTATATGTACAGCTTAGGCTTGCTTTAATGCAAGCTATAAAATTATGTCAACTGTCCACCCCGCTTACCTTCATGCTTTGAAAATTTTGCAAGGGATCAGACTCAGAATACACAGCTCACTGCATGAGTCAGTTCGTGCTAAATTTCTTTCGTTTTTAGTATTTTGTATTTAGAATGGACCTGGATGTGAACCTGTAAAAATGCAGACCAGTGTGTTCTAGTTCAGCACTAGGCTGAGTGATTATGGTTTCACCCGCACACATTGAAGGAATAGGGAGGTTGCACAGCATGGAAACACATGATAAAAATATTTTGAATCGAGCTGCAATAAATAATCCAAAACTTAAATGAAAGTAAACCTGTCACTTTGTCCATTCAAGACAAGCCTGTTACTTTAACCACTGAGGGCAGAATTAGGAGTTCACCCGATAACCTGCCTCCTCTGTTTTAGATATTTACCTTCCCGTATTTCCCTCCTTGCCCCAATAACCAGCTAGAGCCCTGGAAAATACCCAGTAGTTCCAAGTATGGGGGAGCAAGTGACCTTCTACCCCTCCCTACTCGATGCAATGTTTAGTACTGGGCAGCCAATTACTAGGTTCAAGCACGGCCACATAGAAGTGACAGGGAGCTTCTTAGCAGTGTGCTAGCTCCAACACAGAGCTTTTTTACTCAGGGCTCCAGCAGGACAATGGGGCAGAAGGGGAGCACCGAGAAGGTATGTATCAATAGTAGAGGAGGTGGGCTATGTAGAAAGCCTATTACTTTACCCTGAATGGTCAAAACAACAGGTTCACTTTAAAGCAGGGGTCTCAAACCTCCGGCCCTCCAGCTGTGGTGAAACTACAAATCCCATGATGCATCTCTCTTCAGGAGTCATGTCTGTGGCTGTGAGAATCTTGCAATGCCTCATGGAATTTGTAGTTCCACCACAGCTGGAGGGCCAGAGGTTTGAGACCCCTGCTTTAAAGAAATATGAGTGGATGTCCTGACTTTAGAATTGTTACCTGTTCCACTTCATTATGCACATGATGAGAGGAGATATTCATACAGCTGAGACAACACATGTATGACAAAGTCAAAACATTAAAAACATTAACATGATTACCCATGGGAAATCTTATAACTTCATAGTACCCGGGAGCTTCTGTTCTTTTCACAGGTTCCATGAATGGCCAAGCACTTTGGTGACTCTTGAATTAAAGGGAAAGCCATAAGGATTACTATATTAGGATAAAAACATAGGGATTATTATGTACTAAGACTAAATGTCACCGGTCTTTATTTGAACACATTACAACTAATGTCCAGGCTTTAGGAACCAGGCTCATAACTGTCTGGGAGGATTCTCTAGAGTCTGACTGATCTTTATGATTCACCTCCTAATATAATAGTAGTTACATCATTGTAAATGTCTGGCTATGGTGTGGGGAAGGGTAGAACCCTTGTCTGGTTTTCAGAACGTTCTGTGGAGGCTGCTCACTTTGCAAGAGAATTTGCACTTTGCATGGAAAATTTTTAAGGGATGCACCGATACCAAGTACTGTACTCAGTACAAGTACAAATACTTTTCCAGCTCCGCGACTAGACTAGAGGAAAATGCAAAAGTTAGGAGGCCGCTGTCATTTGTTAGGAGCACACGGAGCTCCCGGGATTTGTACATCTCTGTTTTATTGTATGATTTTGTTTTTATAAATATAAATAAAGGGATTCACTAATACCATTTTTGCAAGTGCAAGTACTGATACTTGTCCAAGTACCCACAGGCACAAGTACTGATACATTTTTGTTTATTGTCATGTGACAGTTTTTCTAAAATAATACAGACCAATGATTTCAGGACAGTGGTGGAGAGCCAAAGCCAGAGCCCGGTCCCAGCTGCAACCTCTCCAACCCTGGGAGTTCTCATGAAAATGCCAAGTATCGGCACTGGTATCTGAACTGGTATTGGTGCATCCCTAATAATTTCCTCCTTAGTTTAGTGAATGAGGTGAAGCTTTGCTGACTTCCATCATCCAATCATGAGCAAGCAAAAATAGTTTGTATTTATTTTCCTTGCACATGAATGCGTATTCTCTGCAAAGTGAAATTTCACCTAATTTACTAAGCTATGGGGAAACTTCCCCTGCAAAGTGTAAATTACCTTGCAACGTAAACAGCCTATTTACCTTTAGTAAATCAACTCCATTGCATCTCATGTTCTTTCCCGCTGACAACAGATTTACCAGAGAGTTAGCAAAGTAAGACCTGCAGCAGCAACACAGTCAGAAATAAAACGCTGACTGAAGGTTCCAGCATTCCACTATTCTAATAAAAATGTAAAAAGCGCATTTATTTCCATCTGTGTTGCTGTTGGAGATTCATCCTCACTTCCTGTCTGGTGAAGCTGTTGTCACCAGGACAGGAAGTGTAGCAACATCTTTCAAAAAACAGTTTTGGCTGAACACTCATATGTTGCAGCTTACCTGTCCCTAGTTGTGGTGGCTACATTTGTTTTGTTTTTTTTCAGGCTCAGAACATTTTTAGCAAGTACAGAAAACACCTATTAATCTTGCCAGAAATGCAATGTCCTTGTCACTTCCAGCTGGAAAAAGCAAAAAGAACTTTATTGTGTGACCTACAAGCCCCACATATCCCCCGTGTAATGGGGATGAACAAAGACAGACATGTTTGAAGTCTAACCTGTGTGAGAACCATGGCTGCCCCAACAGATATCATTAAGAAATGAATGGGACAGGAAATGTGTTATTGGTCAGATCACCAGGTTCAAAAAAAGGGGGAAAAAGCCTGATAAGAGAAAACGAATGCAACCCCCACATCCAATCACTGGGGAGCTGTAATATATTACATTTTTGGTTTTGAGTTTAGAATCAGATTGATCACCTATTGATGCACCCACAGGCCTATACACACACGTGTGCTTTGTGGGAACACATGCTAAAATGCACATATTAATGCAAGTTGCTGCAATGCATCTCTATGCACCTGCTCTATGTGTGGTGCATTAAATGAATTGCACGCCAATGCACTCTACACATGACACAATGCAGTGCAGTGCACTACATTGCAAATACCTTACATTGTGGTGTGCTGCATTTTGAAAGAAGGGTCAGGCACATTTTTTTGTCCTTTGTCGTGCTTTGGTAGCCCATTCATCACAAACTGGCTACCTTAATGCAATTCATGTTAACCACATTGTGTGAATCAGCACACCACAACGGATCAGCATTACATGTTGGTGTTAGACTTTATTCTGAAAAGTCAACCTAGGAATGAGGGTCCTATTGCTGGCAGAGGAAGAGGTCACTCTGAGTTACTGCAGAAGTCAGTAAATAATGTTTCCAGTCAGCATGGCAAACCCCTTAAACATGAAACTCTAAGTGTATGTGTAACCAAAATGTTGATTTATTTTAGTTTTTCGATGGAGTGGGTAAGGAGTACAACCCCTGCTGCATTTTTATTGCTCTGTCCCTGCTGAGTAGATTCACCCTGTTTAGTGTTACTGGTGACCATTGTCATAGGACAGAAAGTGACAGCTGTGTAAGAGAGGAATTCCTATAACTTTGTAGAGATTTCAATGCATTTCCTGATACATCTCTGTGACAAGAAATGATGGGAATTCCCATGGGACAGACAGCAAAACATAAACTGATAGTGGTTTTATTCATTAAAGAAGTGTGGGGAGTGTAAAACATAATACCCCCGATGCTTAGAGCAGACGTGGGACACTGCACCTGACCCATGCCAGCTCTAAAACTGGCCATACACTGGTTGTTTATCTGAAGAACCTTCATACGAAAAATCACATCAGAATATTCAATAAGCCACCAGAGACTTGTAGACAGTCCTCTGATTTTAACATCCAATTTTGGAAATGAATGGAGTTTTTCGAACCTCCATTGATTTTGTTTTTCGTCACTATGGTTGAAAACAATTGTCAACCTGACTCCATTAACTATTATAAAATCAACCAAACGTTCCAAAACCGAATCCTTAAACAAAAATTGTACTGGCGTATGGCCAGCTTAAGACCGAAAGCAGTCTGATATACTGAAAGGTTTTATTAATTGGTTTAGTGATACTAAGAGAGGCCAGTCCACCAACTAGAGGGAATGAAAATGCCAAGAGGGAGAGCCTGACTGATAGAATCACAATTGATCCAGTGTTATAATGTGAAAAAAGGAGTGGCTAGAAGAAATAGGATTTCAATGGGCATGTTGTACACAGTATGCTAACAAGGTCACCATGCCAATGCTAGTTCTATCTTAGGCATTTCAGAGAAGGTGGAGAGAACAGAGCGTCCGCATAGCACTGATGCAGAAGGTGTACTTGCAGAAAACCACTAATGGGATACAGGACTAATGGGGTACAGGACGGAGGAATGACGTGTTCTTTGTGAGTACTTATATCCTTCACAACATTTTCACTTAATATACTTTGTTTAATCGAAGATCTGCTTTAAAGCTAAGCTCTGGAGGAATTGTAAAACTACCCTTGCATTGGAGGTGTCCGAACTGTAAGGGTTAAATGCATATTTATGTCTAGGAGACCATTAAAAAGTAGTTTTGCCAATCTTACCTCTTATTCCCGCAAGCTTCCTCCTCTCCATGCAAATAGTTCCCCCTGGAGCCGGTTCTCTTTGGAGCTCCGTTCAATGATTGCACTCTGACATCGTCCCATACAATGCAGGACAAGCAGTCCTGCATTGTAAGTGAGGATTCCCAGACCCACCCTCAACCCAGAGCATCGGAGGGAAGATGACACCCCTGGCTGCTTCGGGAGCAAGAGTGAAAATAGGGAAAAGTCCTTTTTTTATGTTCCCTGCCTAGGCAAAAGCAAGCATTTAACCCTTGCAGTATAGGGGTAGTTTTACAATTTCTCCTGAGTAGCGCTTCACTCACAAGTAGCTGATGAACAGAATACATGATACAAAACATGTTGCTTACCTTTACCTGCTGCAGAATATTTTTCAGTGTGTTGTATAATTGCTCTGGATCTTTTGCCTCTTTACTTGAAACAAAAAGACGAAAACACAACCCAACGAAAGACAAAACAGCAACACAGAAAAAAAAATCAAACTAAATTCAGAGGCAATCATATAAGCTTCATTACACAAAAATGTGACACAAATCTGATCAGTTAAAACTTCAGTTCATATGTTCAGTTGTTCAGGTTTGTGGCAAGTAAATAAATGATGTTCAAAGTACTGCAGACCAGAGCAGCCAGCAGGATTTCAGGTTATAGGGAATTTAGAATGATTTTGGGTCACTTTTTTATTTAACTTTTTTTTTTCAAGTTTACATGTTTATAATCTGACTTGTTCAGGTTGAGCAACTGAGTTTTATAAAGAACCAGATTATTTTAGCCACACTGGAATAGCTAACATTAGAGCTCCAACTATCGTATAAATAAAAGATTATGCATTAATCATATGCAGTATCATATGCAATCATATCATATTAACCGAATAAAAAAAAAATTAAAAAAACATTTTTCTGATTTTTTTTTCCCAATCCTGACCATAATAAATGAATAATGAAAGAAAACATGTAGACAACCACCATATATTAATTTAGGTTTTTAAGGATTTCTCTGGGCTACTGTTTTTTACATAGCAGCAGTGATCTGGGCACAGCCTTATACAATAGGCCTGTATCATTTATGAAGACTATCCATAGGGCTAAAATAGGATCAATGTTTTTTTGTTCCCCAATGATAACCAAGGATTGAAACTCCATAATGTAGCTGCTACTAATTTCAAAAGAGAAAGCTGCTTATCACAACAGGCACAGAGACCTGTCTTCTGCAGTTATGCTAACACTCACAATGCTTTGCCCTGGACTGGCGTTCAGGGAGCTCATCCTGTCGGCACAATGCAACATGTATAGAAAGCATTAGTGATGAGCAGATTTAGTTTACTGATCTACCCCACAGCTATGACAAAATGTGCCTGAAAAATTGTTTTACTATCTGTTGATCCTGTCAATGGATCCAATGATTTTACACTTCCTAGAACGGCTAGACTATCCAGCAAAAGTGGCACTTACAGATGTTGGGGCAAACCATATATCACTGCTAAAAATGGCCAGCTTTTATCCGTATGGTTTAAGCTTTTATTCCACACAAAAAAATGTTATAGTGAGATTTCTCTGTAGAATGAATTGCAGTGTCCCTCTGGTAAGGGAGGTGGAAGACATGGATCTACTGGCAGGATCAACAAGTAATAAAACACTACAGTATTACAGGGGCACTCAAAAACAAGAATGACTGTGTGTGGCAGTGACAGATTACATTATATATGTCATTTCTATTTTCCTCATTGATAGAATTTCATTATTTATTAAATGTTTTATGGGTTTTGAGTTAGCTTTTCGCTAAAAATGAAAAGGTGAACTAACTCACAAAACCCTCTCCACTCCTGGTCCCCGCTGCACTTAGCTACTTAAATGACAACCTTCCCCTGTCCACGCCACCATGTAATGGGCCGCCTACTTCAAGACATCGCTACACAGTCTGGGAGGGCAATGGTCAGCATCACCATGTCACTGTGCTGACCAATCAGAATCTCTTCTGAGCCTTCTTTCTTCCTGGATGTCTTCTTAGAGGAAGGAAGGGATCCTTATTGGTCATTGGTCAAGCACGGTGATGTGGCCATGCTGACCAATGACTGTTCTTCATTGCCAATGTTATTATGTTACAGGCTGCGTAGTGAAGTTTTGAACTGTGTGGCCCATTACATCAGTAGTGTGGGCAGTGGGAGGTTGTTGTCTAGGCAGCTAAGTGCAGTGGGGACTGTGTGGTAGAAAGGGTGTTAGTTCATCTTTTCATTTTATTTTAATAATTATATGAAACGTATATAAACATATATGAAAAGCTATGTAAGAAAAACACTGTACATCTGTACTAAAATAAAGCTTTAGTGTACAACTTGAATATAGATTACCTTTTTTCTTTCAAACTCGGCTTCCAACCTGTTTCTTCTGAAAAACAGGAATGTTAAAAGTTATACCTCATTTTTATATTGGTAAGAAATGTCTGCATATCACCCAACTAACATGACACATTAGGCTTAGTTCACAGTAGCACCATCTTTTTATTCTATCAATTTTGTGCTTTTAGAAAATGTATGGGTCTTTCACAAACTCCTAAAGCTGTTTAAAACAAAAAGCCCTTTAAAACAAAGTGCACTTATCCTTTCCCCCCCCCCGAGCTAGACAATCCCGTCCACCCTCAACATTTGCAGATCTGTACTTACCGAGAGTTGATGGGCACAGTTCTGCTATTGTTTTCGATTACAGGGCTGTAATGCTCCCTCTTCTGGCCGCACCTGCCCATTACACCCCCACAGACTTCTATACACCATCTCCCAGCAGGTAGATAGACACAGCCAGGAGAGGAAGATTTACAGCGCTGGAAGTCAACAATCAGCTGAGCAGCAGTCCTTGGATTCCAGTAAGTATGGAACTGTGGAGGGTAAGGGTGGGACCGTTTAGGTCTGGGGGGGGTTCGGGGTACAAAAAGAATAAGTGCACTTATTCTTTAAAGCAGGGGTGTCAAATTCTATTCACTTGGGGGCCACTGGACAAATTTTCTTCTCCCACGGGGCCACTTGCCAAATTTCATAAAATGTCATACTTCAATCAAAATAAAATGTAACAATATATGCTACTAGTGCTAATGTCTGCGTGTGTTTATAATGTCAGTATACTGTATGTGTTTGTGATGGTTTCTTTGTATGAAATGTCAGTATATTTTTTTGTGATGGTTTGTGTGTGTATTGTCAGAATTTCTGTGAGTGATGTTGGCATGTGTGTTAATATTTCTGTGTGTGTGTCATATCAGCATGTATACATGTGTATATGTGTGTAGTGTCAGTATATGTGTGTTTTTTAGCACAGGTTTTAAATTTAATCAGAGGACCAACAGATTCACACATTCACTCACATGCACAAACACAGAAATATGCACACCCCCACACACAAAGAAATGCACACACCCCCATACACATACAGAAATACACACACACACACTAATACACAACTAAAGAACCCTCTCGCCTGAATTAATTTTTTGCAAGGACAGGGCACATTCCCTGGTGATCCAGGGGTTGATTAGTACAGTCTGCACCTTTGGCTGGTGTAGACCTTACTAATCCTTCCCCTTTCGGCCAGAACTCAGTGAAGGCTGTCAGATCGCAAGCTGTTTTGCCTCACACTGAGTGCCAGCACTGGCAGGAGCAACTATGTGGTTTGCATCGGACAGAGATGCAGACTGTATAGCTGCTCCCCTAAGTCAGGGACGCGGTCCGTGACTCTGTGCCTGACTTGTCAGCCGGCAGTAGGCTGCATGGTTCCAGTTCACAGGACAGAACTGGCCTGATTTAAACAAATATTCTCTAAATGTGACTTATAGTCCATGTATGTATCATAAGCTCCACTGAATAGTAGAGATAAGCAGTTTGGTTTGTGATTTGCACACTACAAAAGTTTCCAATAAGATCTGACAGACAGGTAATAAGCACTTACTGAGTGGCTGCTGTAACATTACATTTTTCACTTAGCTAAACATTTTTACTTTAGTTTTGCATAGTGGGGAAGGGTTAATCCCTATCAGTTAATGTTTTGCTGTCCATGTCACGCTGGGGCAGTGAAAGGGAGATTTCCCTGCACTTCCTGTCATAGAGATACAAGAAGAAGTGGGAGGAAATGTCTACTAAGTGAGGAGAATTACATTCTTAGACAGTTTTCACCAGAACAAGTGTCCCCATTTGGAATTTGACCCGCACTTCTTGTTCTGGTGACAACTCTAAAATTTTGTATTTTCATTTTCTGTCTCAGTGACAGTGGTCTCCTGTACAAATAGAAAAAGTGAGTCTACCTAATCAGGACACAGACAGCAATACAATTGACAGTGGTTCTAATCCTTCCCTATTCTATTCAAAACTAAGAGAAAAAACATTTTCAAAACATACTTTTTACATTAGTTGTAAAACAACAACTGGGGAATCAGGCACTGGCTGGGACCCACAGTGCAAGATAAACGATCATTTCATTCTCTACAGTCTAGAATGCATCATTATCACATTAGGTGAGCTTTCTTCTTTTGATCAATATAAACTTCCCATGGTTTTACTTAACAAAAGCAAAACGTACTGATTCCTGGGATGCTTTCAATCGGTATTTGCCGTACTCCTTCTTTAAAGCACGATAGTCCTGGGTATACTTTTCTGATTTGTGCTTGCTTCCTTTCAATCATTTTCTTGATGATCTGTAAAAATAAAAAAAGATGTTTGTATAACTCGAAAACTTTTTTTTATAGTTTTGTTTTACCCTCTCTGGTGTCATAGCTGATCACATGTGCGGCACCATGGCAACCTCAATCCAAATAGAGGCTAAAATGCTACCTTCCTCGGCTGTAAGGGTTTAGAGGTTGTAGTTCTGCATTAAGGTGCTATCTGTGTCCTGGTAATTTTCCTCACTATTTGTCCTGGGAATCATAATCACTGGGAAAGGGAAGCAAGGGAAATCCAAAATGCAAAATGTTACTAATGCCACCAGAACAGAGGGTGAAGGGAAATCTCCTAATGGGGGAAAGCTGTTCCGGTGACAGCTATCAAAGGTTGAACTTCCTCTCACTTTGGAGATGTTTTGTCTCCTGGAAAAGGATGTACATGGAAATTTCCCTCAAGGGAGACATAGATCACAATAAAATTCTGATGGAGGTTCTTATCCTTTCCCATACTGCCACATATATCCCAGAGAAAAAAAAAATTGTCTAAAGTTACGCTTTAAAAGTCCTCTATCGCAGTGCTGTCGTTGGATCCCAGCCCGTGTTACTGTCACTTTTGTTTGACAGATTGGTCTGCATGTAAATGTGAAATACAATATTGTTCACCATAGTGGTCCTTTGGAACAGTTATTTGAAATCTAATGGCAATATATCTGCCACATAGACGGTAGAGAAGTTACAGTATGGCATGCCAAACATACAAGGTCACTGGAAGATTTAAAATGGCAGGATATAAAAAGTATATACACAGCATAGAATGGCGTGTATAATGCTATGTTCGTTCATACACAGTAAACCAAAATACAGTCACAATTTCACAGTACTACAAGGGGGGGTCATAACTGTCCTTATCCCTTTCTTAACTTAATGGCCCGATATGATGTTCAGGCAGGAACCAAGCCATTCTGGGCTAGTCTAAGGACCATAAAGAGAATTTTTAGCTTTCTTATTAAGAAGTAGTAACAAAGTACTGAAACATGCAGGTACAAAGACCTAGCGAAGGCTTGGCACAATCAGTGGCGGGCCGATATTTTTCTACCCAACACTTTTATGAAGACATCTCTGAGATATCTGGAGCCACCCTTATTAAGGATTTTTAATCTTTATATTGCAAATAATTTCCATTGCTGTTGTGCAACAGAAAAATATGTGATTAATGTGTTCAATAGTCAGGTATGACGTAGTACCCAACCACATTGTGCACCAAATTGGTTACATTTCCTAACAACCAACTTGTCAATTTTAAGATAATAGAAGTCTCCAAATGCAGAAAACAAAATTAAATAATACAGCAGTCAAGTATACATTGGGCACCCCTATGTAAAATAATGACATCGGCACAGAGGGTGGGGGACTCTCTGGAATACTAAAAACTCATGATATCTCCTGGCTCCAGCAGACACACTTTCCTGGACAGGAGAGGGGAGTTAGACTAACAGTTAAACATTTTTTGTTTTTAGACTATGAAATAGCTGAAAAACCCTGTCAAGTTTTTTTTCCATGTCTGTGTCCCATTAGACAGGGTTTCCTTCACTTCCTGCCTCAAAATACAACAGTAAGTAACAGTAGATCTCTGCAACATAAGGAAGCATTTCTCTTAGTTGTCCCTGGAACAAGATGGAAGACCAAGATTTCACCTCTATGATAATGGTCAACAGGACAAATAGAACAGTAATCATAATCCATACATGGAAAATCAATACAAATGAGCAGAATGCCCACCAGAGGGAGTGAAAACCAAATGTAAAATGAAAATCTAGTAAGTGGTTTGAAATAACACATACATTTATTTTGGTAAAGTTCTCTGTGTACTCATGATGACTGTCAATCCCTAAAGATACCAGGTTTCCACCTATTATTCCTAAATCACTGACAGATTCTATTCTCTTTTTTGTAACAAAATACTTTTGAATCAATAAAATACTTTGGACTCAAGTGATGTCTGTTTGGTGCTCTCCTTGGCTCAGTTACATGTCGAAGTCAGGCCATTAGGCTCAAGTAGAGTCGTGTCTCTGCTATCTAAGGATATGTGTACAGCGCCTGAATTCTACCTTTCCATACAGTAATCAAAATCTGACAGAGTTTCTAACTCTTCTCTACTGTAGCCAACGCTGAAAAAAAAATATTTTATTTCTTTTATTTAATGTTTTTTTGTTGGAGACAAGAGACAAGTGTGTTTAATTCCTACTGTAGCAGTGGCTGCTATTGCCATCATTTTGCATTGGTTCTCAATCTGTGTAACCTCAGGACCCACATATGTCCTTGGTCATAAAGTCGTGACCCAAGTCGCACTGCAATGGAATGCAAGGCATTGCGGTACCACACTTTCCGGTGTGGGCGATCAAACTGTGAGTAGGAGGTGCGTTTAGGGTACCGTTCATATGAATGGCAATGCACCTCCCACACCAGAATGCACAGTAGGTGCGATTGCATGGTACAGTGCATTAAACCCATAGGACCGTGTGATTAACACAATGCACTAGTGTGAACGGGCCCTCAAAAACACTGGCAGAAACACACAATCTCACACACATACACACACTCCAAAAAAAAATTTATTTATTTTTTCATTTTTTTAAGATCCACCTGGTCTCCCTTTCTTACGGAGTGGATCCTCAGCCTTGGTCCAGTGTGGGCTGCTGTGCAGTTACGGAGCTCCATCCATATGTGCATTGCTTGTATAACTCCCTTGTAGAAAATGTATACCTTTCATGTTATTGAGTTTAAGTAAATCACCTAATGCTTTATAACAAGCTTTCATGCAGACGTGTCCTCAACTGGCTGAACAAGAAAAAACTGCTTGATTCCCCCATACTCGTTAAACAGCATGAATGGAGGAATCCTCCCTACTGGTTATTGTGTTCAGCAGCCAGTACCCGCTGCAGTCAGAATACCTGAACAGTGACTGCAGTCACAGTTTAAGCAACATATTTTCCACCTAGCTCCTTTGATTTTTTTAATCAAAGTTTGTTGAGCAAGGTGGCACCGGTAGGGTCACCCACAGTCAGAATCTCTGCTGCTTGCCAGGATTCGGCCAAATTTCTAGCAAAGTATGGCCAGCTTTACTATAGGCATGTCTCCTCCAGAAAGCTGCAATAAAACCACTGATATGAAAGTAGACATAGTACTTTACCTCTTTCTGTTTCTTTATGATGACAGAAAATTCTGTGTAAGGTATCCTGGGATTTAACTCACATCCCATTAAAGTGGCTCCTTCATAATCCTTTATGTATCCAACATACCGTGCTTTAGGTACTTTAATGTCTTTAGAAAAACCCTAAAACATGTAAGGAAAAAAAATCTTAGACTCTTAATCTTAGAATCTTAAGTTCGATTATTTTTTTGCTTTAGGATTAAGCTTTTCACATTGGCTTGGTAATGGCATAGGGGGCTTGTCAGTTTGATAATATTATAATTGATGCACTAAACAGAAGTGTGTATAATAAATCTGGGTTGTAGTTTAGGATAAACGGCTAATCGCAGCAGTACGGTCATGTGGTCCTCTGAAAATGCTAGTTGTCTGGTTTTAATGCTGTCCATACTTTGAGTCACTGACCCAGAGTAACTATATAGATAAGAACTTATGACTCTTCTCTGGCTCTCTAAGAAATGCAAGTGAAAACACTGAAGACAGCAAGTCTCCATACCAGCCAAGCAATTTTCAGAAGGAGATCAGCAATGGCAACCCCTACATTTTTCTTGTGATAGATATACTTTAAAAGAGGTGCGCAGTGTATTTCAAGTTAACACATATTTAGAATTATTACTGCAGTGTTATTTTTGATTTGACATTTTTAAATGTTTGCTTTTCATAATTTCAATCCTATCGAATGTCTGTCAATGCGTGTTTATCGGCAGTAAAGTAAAATAAAATATCTGATCGAATTGTCAGCACACATTTTGGGTGTAAGAACAAGAAAAGTCTGTCTGGTTTTCTCTGTCCTCTACTGCTTACGGCTTAGACTGAAATACTAACCAATATCCAGTTGTAGAAGAATATACGCTCACATACATTTGCAACAAATGTAAATGTGCAGTCATTTATTGTACCTGTTTCTTGAAATAGCCTATTGCATATTCATCAGCATAGGTGAGGAAATTCAATATGTTATGTTTGATGTGATATTCCTTCAAATGATTCATTAAATGAGTGCCATAACCCTGCAAGATAAAAACATGAAAAATGACTTTTACCAAGTAAGTCCGCCCTTTGAAAGTACAGTTATCAAGAGCGTGACTATCTTTTCACTGCTACATTGTATGCTTCTGCTTCTCCTGCTTATTTTTCTGCTCAAATAACCTGGAGGTAAGAGAAGATTTAAGACCAAGCCAGCAACAGTTTTACACATGCCGTACATCTGCAATATGTGATCATTTCCCATGTGTTTTGTCTCTTTAAAAATGCCACAAATACAGACAAATGCCTGGTGACCCTGCCAAAATTCCAGTCAGCTCCTAACTTCCTGTAATAAGCTGCCTCTGCAGCCTTGAAATCACAGGCAGCAATGTCAGCCCTGCCTGCTGCGACAACAAAACTCCTACTATCCATGTTCTTGTCTTCTTCCTCATGCATACAGCACATTGATTTCTTTCCTGAGGTCTTTTCCTAGCCTGCAAACATTGTGTGTAGGGAAGGATGTTTTTCTGGTGGGACATGCCTGAGTTCCCACCTGCTGCCCCTGCAACAATTTTACAAGCCTTGTGTTGGCATTGCAAAGAGTAATAAAAGCTGATTCATGCTAAAGGAACCAGGAACAAATATAAACCGGGGGTAGGCAACCATGACACTTCAGCTGTGGTGAAATTGCAAATCCCAGCATGCATCTATCTCAAGGAGTCATGCCGGTGGCTGTCAATCTTGCAATGTTTCATGGGACTTGTAGTTGCACTTTGCGTGCCAAGGTTGTCCAACTTTGGTATAAACAAAAGGCATGTAAAATGTATTGAATACTTTCATTACATATATTAAAGAAGAACTTCAGCTTCTATTATTTTTAAAACACCCTATACATACAGTACCTTTTTCATGCAGTCTTCAGGCCAGTCCAGTGAGGTCACAGCTCATTCCTCGACTGCAGTGGTGGGTCATCCTTCCGTAGCTTACTCCGGGAGCATTGTGAGCCCAGGCTGTATGATGACACAACCCCAGTAGGAGTTTCCATGACAGTCTGGCCTCACGAGAAGCAGGTTGGATGTCAATGGGTGTCATTCAACCCACCAAAAAAAGAGTAGCGCTAGACGCTGGAGGGATAAGTCTGCAGGGAACAGTGCTGGAGCAAAGGTCAGCTTTCCAACAAAAAAAAAACATTTTCTAAATGAAATGCAGCATATTAAATGTCCTTTAAATTGTATGTTTGGGCAGAATTCCTAACCTGCGAATGATGCAATATTCTATAATCAGTTTCATTACTTGAAAAATGATCTGTAATAGAAAAATGCCCTAGTGTGACATTAAGAGGGTGGTTTTCAGCTGTCCGTTGCCTTTAGCTGGGTAGTGAACACCGCAGAGTTTAAATTTGGCTGCAAAGTGCCAAGGCAAAATGCATCAGTCTGTCTCTCTGCTTCATCATTCAAGTATAAGCAAGATAAACAGATGTTCATTAAAAAAAACTGTGATTAGGAACATGGAAAGATCCACTGAGCTATGCTAATTGTACATTTATTGAACATTCATCCTTCTGGATTAATGAAGCAGGGGGTTTTTCGTTTTTCTTTTCACATACTGATAACGATTTCTCACCTTTACTTGCTCATTTGAAGTCACAGCACAGAAGACTATCTCTGTAAATCCTTGGCTTAGAAACATTCGAAAGCAGATGCCCCCAATGACACGTCCATCCTTGATAAGAGCAAGTGTTTTATGTTTCCTAAAAACAGAAATGTTCTTAGAAACATCAATTGCTCAGACTGTAGCATCACAACTCCTGAAAACATAAGGGAGAAATTAGCTTTAAGAAAGTTGCATTTATTTATACCAAAATTGTAAGTGATCTATATTCATTTCCAAAAGCTCTTTATGATGCCGTACACTGCACTGGGTGTTTCCTTTATGTCTTAATGATTCTATATAGTACTGTGCTGCATTATTCTAGTGCACTGAAAGAGAAGGCTTAGCACGAACCAGCTGCAGGTTATCAGGTCATCAGATAGCCCAAATACTATTTGCAGCCCTATTTGACTCTTTCTCTAGACCTCGGCATCTACGCCTTCCCTCGCCATTACTGAGCTGCAATTGTTTATTGTCAGAAACCAATTGTAGCAGCATATGATCCACTGACAGGTATAGAGAGCTTTGTAAATAAAGAAGCAATGGGCACTAATAAGTGAAATACATATCCCTTATCATGTTAATGATATTAATTTCCCATTTTATTTTACCTCAGAGCAGTGGCGTCATGGACCCGGTGGCATACCTTATCCCGCCGGGTGGCTGTCTCCTCCTCTCTCTGCCGGCATCCATCACCAAGATGGCATGTGATGGCATGTATCAGAGTACTGCAGCGCGTGCGCAATGACATCATCGTGCACACGCGTGGTGAAGTCTCGACAGGGGTGACACTCGGACACGGCTCCGGATGTCACCCAGCCTCTGGACACCCTTGACTCAGAGGATTTTATATTTTCAATAAACAAATCCTACAGCGGAGTTAAATAAGTTTGAGAGTGACTACTTGAATGACCTTGCTAGGATTTACAACATCAAATTGGCCTGAATCATGGAGAATGGAAGAGCTCAGTTATATGAAATATAATGATACTGGAGAAACACATACAAATCAAATGTTTTTTCTGCATTCCAGTCCAGGCTTAACATGAGCAGAAAAGTTTCTTCAAGCACATTTATGGCTCTTTTCCTCACCTGGCACACATTTTTCTTTGATCAGGCTAGGACATAGAAACTGAATAGACGCTCGCTCTTTTCAAGGAAGATAAATGCCTTTAAATAATATTTTAATTCTAATCAGTGCTCAAAGAGTAGTGCATCTGAAATCTTACTGATTTCAGCATGGGGTTCCCATTGCATCAGAAAGTGGACTAGCTACTAAAGCTTTGTACAAAAACAAAAGTATGATTCCCAGCTTGGAATACAAAAGAATAACTGCAGGTGACTTACGTTAACAATGTAGCACACAAGTACATCTCTGAATAGTACATAATACAATAGCATCCAGATCTGTGTTTGAACAATTACTATTGAAACTATCATCCATAGAGAACATTACTAACAAGCTAAACACGGTTTTAGGTGACCAACACTCATTTTACTATGATAAAATATCAGCATAACTGTACCCAGGGGATATCTTTTAACATGCATAAAGAACTCACGGATCAAAGACAAGGCGGGTGATATATTCCTTTGGCATCCTCGGTAGCTGATGTGAGAAGACGTTTTGTAAGCCAACAAGCCAAATCATGATCTTTTTATTGGGTTTCTGGTTAAGAGAATTTCCGACAACATGAAACTCAATCACACCTCTGCGCTCTTCCAGCCTGGCTGCCTCGTCTCTCGCAGAAATAGCAGATAGAAAGCTGGTCTTAAGAAATTTAAAAAAAAAGAGATAATGAATAAATCCCAGCTTGGTAAATGGTTTCAAATAAAAAAATAAGAGAATTGTATTACTGCATATATATATTACTGCATATATTAGTCTTAAAGGCATAGTCCACCTTTTGCAAATGTGTTAATTGCACCTACATTAATAAAAGACATTCATTTGGTAAAATTTTTGCATTCACACACATTTGATTTATTTGTTTGCAGGATAAATTCATCTGAGAATTATAATACTTCCCAGGTTAAGTTCTCCTGCGTTTAAATTTAAATCCATTTCTATGCATTTAGACGCGCTCAGGTCCCTGCGTGGCCCCGAAAGTGCTAGTTTTTGATTGGCAATATTCCTACAATAAATGGACTTTTACTTTTTTCACTGAACATTGGAGTGCTGGCAAAATTTTTGCAAATTCAGTTTATCCGCGGTGCCATCCATGGTCACTACAAGCACCTACCTGTTTAACAGGTATCTCTATCCGGTAAGGAGTGCAACAAGATATCTTTTCACTAAATATCTAATCTGTCCCTGGACGCTCAGGGTATGGTTATCAAATCTTAAGCAGACAGAATCGTGAGCAGTTCCCCATAGTAATCAATCAGCTTCTCTTTTCAGTTTATTCAGGTAAGCTTTGAAAATAAAAGAGAGAAGTTGATGGGTTGCCATGGGCAACTGCTCCAGATTCTGTCTGCACCACTTTCCCTTCTCAGAATTAAATTTTCCTAAATGCAGCTAAACTGAATGCACCTACACACACAATGTGAATTATACCATTTCAAATCATTATGTACATTTATATGCGTTTAGAAACATACTATCTATGCATATAATCACATGCCTGTATAAATAAGGCCTGATGTGATTTGGCAACCATGACATGTGCCCACTGATTAATGTGAAGTGTGAGAGTTTAGATTGCAAGCACACTTTAGTAAATGAATATTTCCAAGAAACGTTAATTGATTTCCTGCCTCCTCGGATTCATCCTGCCCTAAGTAAATTTCTTTTTAACATCAATGCTAAGTAAAGAAATCTGAATTCTCACCATTTCCTCACCACTCTGCAGAACAATGGGCTATTTCATTGTAGAAGTTTATAGTTTTGTATAAGTTTTCCATAATAATATTACGTGCTTTCTAAATAGCAGCTTAAAATCCAGTCGCTTAACAAAGAATTCACTGCTTTGATGTAAGTTTTTTATTTAGCAAAATGCATTGTTCATCATTTCAGTTGATGCATCATCAGCATAAAAAGAGCAGAATCAGGAAAGGTTATAGTATCGGTTGTAATCATATTTGTTAATCTAGACTCACCTCAGGGCCCAGCATGGCAGCAGGATCTGTGATAGTAGACATTACTTCATTGATCAGTTCAATAGGAATGTCGCCCACTGCTCTTGGTCTTTTGGATTCTTCTGTAGAATAAGGTTCACTACTTTTCCTTTTGTCAGCTGGAAAATGAACAGTGAAATTGTTTTTGATCTATAGTGAACACTACAAGATTTTCCTGAACCTTTGATTGCACTATTTCAAATGGGAATGAGATCGATGAGAGGGGGTTCTACTTTATTTTTTATATAATACACTTACATTATAGTGTATATGAACCCTAGCAATTAACTCTTATTTGCTCCTTGTTGGGATGGTAAATATACCATTCAACATGTTTTATAATATATTTTCAATAAGTGCAAAAACGAAACGAAAACGAAATGGAAAATATTTTGTATTATTATTTAATTTTTTACTTTACTTTTAGGGGCTTTGGGGAAATATCTAAACAAACCCCTGATATTTCCCTTTTGAAATAGAAAAAGAGATTGAGGACAGAGAGTCCTAAATCTCTTTTTCTGCAGCCCCTCTATGAATGAACAAGAAGCCTCTATACTGAGTGCTCCTGTTCATTCATAAACTGTGGAGATAGTATCAGTTACTATGTCCACAATCATGAATGAACAGGAAGTGATGTAGAGCACTTCCTTCTTCATTGATAATTGGGGACACAGTAAACATACTATGTCCTCAATTATTTACAAACACTTAACGATCAGCTGTTCACTGAGTGCTTGTAACCACTCTCCATCTTGACTCGCTGCCACAGAAGGCTGAGCCTCCTGTGGCAGCTGACTGCTTCCTCTGAAAGCTGTGCCAAAGAAATAGCTGGAAAATAGCTAGTGTTGCCTGTGGTCTCCCTGTAGTACCCCCCATTACTGACTTACCGCGTGTTGTTCTGTGCTGTATCCTTGTGTGGATGTCGCCTTCTCAATAGGACTAAGCAGGACCTTGCTTCCCCTCCAACAAGAACATGGAGCAGCAATCACATCACCAAATCTTACTCCAAATCTCCAGAGACAAGCAGTCAGAGGCAGCAGTGCCTTAGATGACACTGCACTACACCTAACACTGAAAATGTACAGCTTTGAGTCTGTAGGCACCCTCATATACCAGGAGGTGCACTGCTATTTCGCAGGAGGAATTTAAGGTCAATTTTTCATGGTACTGCTTAGACAAAATTTGTAAATGTTCCCTATAACACAGCAAATCTTCACTTTTGGAGTTTAGTTCCACTTTAAATCACACAAAGTTAAAAGATGAAGAGTGACTATTTTGGATTTTATCATCAGCACAACTCATGGAGGGTTAAAGCTTTCTATACCATGTCATAAGCTATCTTCATTACATCCTCACTGATTTAATTCAACGACCTTCAATAGGGATGCACCGATACCAAGTACCATACTCGGTACAAGCACAAGTACAAGTACAGATACTTCTGAGCTCCAAGACTAGACTAGACTAGAGAAAAATTCAAAAGTTAGGAGGCAGCTGTCATTTGTAAGGAGCACACGGAGCTCCTGGGATTTGTACATCTCTGTTTTCATGTATGATTTTGCTTTTATGAATATAAATAAAGGGACTCACCGATACCAATTTTGCGAGTACAAGTACTGATACTTGGCCAATTACTTACAAGTACTGATACATTTTTGTTTAGTGTCATGTGACAGTTTTTCTGAAAATAATATCGACTAATGATTTCAGGACAGTGGTGGAGGGCCAGAGCCAGGTCCCATACTCCCATAACCCTAACTTTCAATAACTGTTATTGGGGTTGATGTGGTCATCATAAAAAAAAAACCAAAATAGTCCCTCTTTATCTTTTCTCTTTTTTAGAAATATATTGATCTAAAGCTTGTTGTCCTTCATGGAACTTGACATTTAAACTGTTTTTACAGGCCATAATAACGTCTATGGCCAATCATTATACACGGCTTCATTTCTTCAATATCATTATTCTCTGAATTTACTTTTGTATGAAAGAAAGGTCCCTGCCTCCAGAGGTATAAGGAGTTTGCTTTTCACATTTCCATCTTGTTCTTGGTTTTCCCCTATGAATGACAACACCTGCACTACGTGTTAATTTTTCTACTTTCTCTGCCAGATAATGGCATCTTTAGCTCCAGAGATATTGTCTATATTATCAGCCTTCCTCAGTATCTGCACATGTTCCATATAGATGCAATGTGTGGTATGTATGCCTGGCTCTCAAATAGCCTACTCTAGTGCCACTTTAAAGAAAAAAACATGCCAGTGCATTACCTTGCCCTGTTCATTAACTGCTTGAAGACCAGGTGTTTAGATCCCCTTCCTGGCCAGGCCATTTTTCAGTGTTCAGCGCTGCGGTACTTTGACTGACATTTATTCCGTCACGCAACGCTGTACTGAAATGAATTTTATACCATTTTTTGGGGACAGATTCCGCCGGCTCTATAGCCGGCGGATCGCTTGTATATTAACGGGCATCGCTGCCTCTTTTCAAATAGCGGGGATTTCCCGCTCGGGCGCGCCGCGGATGTAACAGGACGTGTATACACGCCCAGTTACATCCAAGAAGCTCCCGGCAGGCCGTGTATACACAGCGGCTGGCCGGGAGGTAGTTAATAATATGAAGTGTCTCGGCAAGAAAAACTGGATGTGCATCAGCAATGCACTACCTACAATAGCAAGTTCACAATTAGCATTTCTGATATCCCTACTTCTCTAGAGGCTATATATACAGCAGTTTTCAAAGGACACTATCATTTGCTGCTCTGAAATTAATAAAGTATATATTGGTCATTGAACAGGCCCAACACCTTCTTGTTATCTTCCTAGATCCCTTTCTACATATGGTTTAGCCATGAAGCTAACATATGCAATATAATTTATACACAGAGCTAAGCAGGGATATTCCTCTTTCTACATTCCAGAGTCTCCTATATTAGGTATCAGACACAAAATCCTTCTACTCTGTTCCAATGATAAAGTTTGATTGGTGTAAGGCAGGGTAAGGTAAGTGGTCCTGCCACTGGGGCTCCCCTTTTGCTAGACGTAGATAATTAGAAGCTCCAAAGATTATTTCACATGACACTGAGGTAAAGGGAACACAGTGGACTATCCAGACCTTACCATAGCTGCTTAATAAAAGTCCAGACCAATTCATTAAAGTCCTTACCTCCTTCTTTCATGCACTCAGCTTGGGTTCTATCTTGGATGATGAATTGTTATTTCTCAAATTTTTGAATGTCTCTTTAAACTGTTCCATGGGCAGTTCCTCTCTTACTCTTTTGCTGAGAATTGTAGCACTATTTACAGCAACAGCATTAGGATATGCCCTATACTGTATCTGTTATAAGATAACCCTCTTTCCTTTTGCACACACTGGCCCTCAGGTAGAATTTAGCCTTCAGCTCTTACTTTACATTTTGGCAAAATAAGCGGTCTGCTTAACTTCTGAATCTCTTTCATATTCTCCCTTCTTTTGATGTAGCATCTTTACTTCCCATCTTACACATCAGTCTATATTTGTTCTCCTTTTGATGAGCCACTTTCTCTCATTCTTTATTAAACCATTCCTTTCTTTTCTCTTGCTTTTTCCTTGCCAAGTCTCATCTGATGCCTGCACCATAAATTCTTTTAGCTCATGTCCTGCACATTACTGTTTTGCTCCCATTTTTTATTCATTTTCTCTGTTGGACCTTTCTATTATATCTGCAGTATTTCTCATGCTCTCTATACGCTTATTTACTTGTCATCCTCTGTATTACCTTAACATTGGACTTATTTGCAAGTTTCTTAAAAGTCGCCTAGAAAAATAACTGAGTTTATATTGGCACCCCAATAAACCCTGACATCTTCAAACCTGAACCCACATATTGAATTTATTACATCATATTCAGCCTGGCTCTCTATCTGGTATTCTCTTAGTGACCTTACGTATAGTCTTACAAGGAAACTATGGGGTCTATACACTAAGCTGCCGTTGGCAGACGAGTGAATGACCGACCTGAAGTGAAGTGAGCCGAACACTGTTCGGCTATTCACTTCAGGCTGGTATGGCTGATTTCAGCTGTATATCGGCTGAAATCAGCCGTACATCGGCTTGCTTCGCATGGCTTCGGTTCGGCCGAACATGCTCAGCATGTTCGGCCGACCCGAAATGCAGAAGGAGTTCGACTCAGCTGATCCAACTTCAGGCTACTCGCTGCTGTTCGGCCTATTCTTATAGATGCCGAACGACAGTGAGTGAATAGCTGAATGTTCAGCACCCCTTCGGTTCTACTGAACCGAAGGGGTCCTGGGGCCGAAGCTAGCCGAAGGATCGGCCGAAGCTACGGCTAGATCCTTCGGCAGCTTCGTGAATAGACCCCTATGTTTTACCTTTCCCAATATCATCCGTAAGTTTTTTTGTCTTCATGTATGCTTTCAGTCACATCATTTGGTTTATATGTTCTTTATTTTCAAACCTTCTTCCTTAGGTTACCACTCCTAAAAAATGTGCCACCATTTATTATGAACAGCTAATTTTACAGATTCACCTTGACCTGTTTGACTTGGTTGACCCTACTGGGACACTAAGCTCCTGCTCAGCCAGCATAGCTCTTATAGACAAAGTGGAACATCCAAACCTGCCTGCCACAATAAGGAAGCAGCCCCCGAAGAGGTTTTCTTTTTCTGAATTGAGGAATATAGTACGTCTTTAAGCCCTCCCTAATCCTTCCTCCCTGAACCTGGTCACATAAACAGCTGATCAAGTGGGATGGAATTTCCCAACTGATCAGTATGGTGTAGAATGAAAGCTGATATCTAGGACCAAACATGCCCAATGCAAACTGACATGTTTGTATACAGTTCCTATTTTGGCTGGCTTTGGTTTCTGGAATGGTACAGTCAAAACATGCTGGGTTAGCACAAACATTTAAAGAGAATTGGGGCTGATAAATTCAAGAATTTTAATATGTTCTACAGCATCTTTTGAAGTCGAAATATTAGTTGACAGTATGGTAATTACTTGCTAAGGCAGTTATAACCTACCAAGGCTTGATTCAAGTGCCGGTTTGCTAGAAGGACTCACGCTTCCACTGTTGGGCTGATCAGTTGATGATGGGCTTGCCACATATGCAATTGTTCTTGAAACAGGAGGATTGGTGATAACTACTGTGTTCATAAAAAAGAAGGTAAATCAAAATTAGAGCTCAATTTCTTGCTACACACATTTGTATTTGAGAACATTCTGTCAAATTTGAAACAATTGGAACCTAAATGTTTGAGATTAAAAACAGAAACAGCTAACATGTGTGAAATAGATGCAATAATATTAAAATACATATGATACAATATACAGTAGTCTATCTTGTTTAACATAATTAAAATTAATGAATACACTCAGGTATAGCATTAAACATATTTTTTCTGCAAAAAGTAGTATGGATTTCTCATGCCTCTAACAGTAATATACATGTGGAATTGTTATTAAGATAGCAGAACCTATTTATTGACAACCCCTCCCTGAAACCAAACAAACCAGCCATATCAAAAGCACTGCAAACATGCCTGCTCCCTTCATTAATAACAGACTGTATACCCTCCATTACTGGATAGGTGCTTCAAGAGGAGTAACCAGAGTTTACAAAGTATTTTAAAGACGGCAACTCGCTTGTCCCCCATTTAAAGAGGGCTAACAAATTATCGGAAAAGTGTTTTATCTTCCCTGTCTCTCACTGACTCTTCATTCAATACCTCTGTATAGGGTTAAATTTGGCGGAACAAGAAAAAAAGAGTTTGGAATTTCTGCAATCCAGTTCCAAAATTTTGAGATTTATTTTTCATTCAGTAATTAATAAACCTTGCAGAAGGACACATACAATATTTCCTATTAAGTAAGATCCAACTCCAACTTCCTAGTAAACGTACATTTTTCAGCTGACACAATCCATTCATCCATCCATCACCACTACACCCCAGGGTAGGTCTTGACTTCCTTCAAGAGTTTCTGCCATTCCTCACAGTAGTTATGGAATTTCCACATGCCATCATTCCTGAATCCTCTTGGACTATCCTTCCTACCACACATAAGCTCTTTTGGGCCATGTGGGCAACTTCCTTTGGGTTCAGCTAGCAGAATTTTCTCTGCAGTGTCATTTTCAATTAGTTGAATGACAAGACCTGCTGACCTGAATCTGTTTAACTTGAAGAAATATTACAATATCAGAGTCACCAAACACCTGACAGATGTCAAAGATGGTTTTGGGGTGCCACCTTTTTCCCTTCTATATTACATCATATATTTTCAGTGCTTTCTGCTCAAGGCACTTAAGTTGTATGCCATCTTATTTTGATGGGCAGCTCTCAGCTCTGTAGCTGGGCCCATGCTTTTTAAAAATCAAAGTATGAGCTATTTCACTGATGTGAGAAGTTTGCACATACGATCACATCTGTAAAGGACTAAGATTATGGTGGAGCTACATAAAACTACAGTGGACCTACAAAAATCCTGCTTCTTAACATTACTCCAAGTTACCCTGTACGCCAGATTGAAATTTTACAGAGACGAACAAAACTGTTCCACCCATTGTCCTGTGTTGTCACCCAGCAGACAGATGTCAGTCAAGGGTCTGCCACAGAAGAAAAATGAGGCACACAGTAAATATTTATACAGTTCCATTACTTGTCTGATGACCACAACTAATTTTTGTTAACATGTTTACTGGATTTCTGTTTTAATGGAATGATTAACTAATTAAGAGTATGGCAAATAAAGTGTTGAATACCACAGAATGATCCAGTTACTATAATGACTCTCCATAGTATTCGTTGGTCCAGTAGCTAGAAGGCCAGAGCGTGCAGATGGGGAAGCTTTGTACATTTGACCCTAGACTAGATTACTAAAAAGGATAAATTAATTCAGTGACCAATGAGAAGCTGTAACATCTAGTCAACAGTTGAAGATATAATTACATGTCAAGGATGTTTGCACCTTTAGCTCTTATTAAATAGCCTATGTGGCTAGTGCTGATCCCACCTGTTTAAGTATCACTAAATGTTAAAGGGGCCAATGCATCAGGAAGAAATAAGGAATTCTTTACATAGGGCATTTTAACCCCTTCGTGACTGAGCTTTTTGTCAGTTTCTGTTCATTAATGACTGAAACACTTAACATTTTTGCTGTGTGATTCTTCCATGTCAGTAATATACTTTCTTACAAAGTGCACCCACACATATTATATATTGTTTTTTAGAGGACAGATAGGGCTATATATTTATATCACATATTTGTACCTAACACCTCACTTAGAACAAATAAAATATAAAAAAAGGAAAAAACAGTTTTTCCCCAGTTTTGATATGTAGTATTTTTTAGAAAAATAGCACTGCTAAAAATGCATTAAATACATTCATTTATTTGGAAAACCCTCACATTCCTAGGATTTTAGAAACTTTTCTGTACTTCTCAGCCTAAAACTGAAAGCTAACATTTTCATTTTTTTCTCTAAAAGCTAATAGTGGTCATCAGGTTAAAGAGGTGGCATACAATGTCACTGTCACTAAGTGACATTTTTGAAAAATAAAAATACCTGCTTGGATTCCAAGCTCATTTGTTTGAGAAGATGAAGACATAAAATCTTCGTCCCATATAGGAGAATTTGGACTGTAAACCTCCTCTTCCAGCATAGACAGGAATCTAAATCAGAAATACATAATATTGGTTATGTGAAGTGGTACATGGAATAAAGATGAACTAAGTAGATTAACCTAACACACACAGATTCATCTCATTATACCAGATATAAGAAAACAAAATGTACTCATTTTAAACAGCCTCAACACTAACCATAAAGAGGAGTTGACAGACAGCAGAGGACTAGTCACCAATATTGCCTGTGTTCACCCTGCAGCTGATAGCTTTCCCATTATGACTTGTTTTACACTGTGGCTCGATGTTGAGGTGGCCTTCTTGGTAGAAGCAGAATGTCAGAGCCTCCAGCAAAGAGAACAATGAGCAGCATAGTAGTAAAATCACCACCAGCTCTATTCACTAAAGGGTGAAGAGTTTGGAGAAGGCAGGAGAAGTGAACAATCTAGGAGAATATATCTGAACTGGAAAGTGAGCTGAATTGGAGAATATTTCAAAATCAGCTATTTTGTCCTAGATTTTTCACTTCTCCTGCCTTCTCCAAACTCTTCACCCTTTTGTGAATACATAAATCTCACTCCAAACCTAGACTAGCAGTCAGCGGCAGCAGTGCCTTGGATCTCACAGTATGAATATACACCTATGAGGCTACAGAACAGGAGTGCCTAGGCACATTTACATATCATTTTTCAGGAGGAATTAAAGAAAAAAGGTAAATTTTTCAGGGTACTGCGTAGGCACAACTAACACTTCTAAATGCTCTCTATAACACAGCAAATCTTTACCTTTTAAGTTGTTACTTTCTTTTCCACAAGCCATAAAAACATAAATATGTAAACCTACTTTGAGTATTGATGTCTCTACTTATCTACTACTGTTTAAAGACCCATCTCGGTCTTTAAACAAAATTACTGGGACAAGTTCTTTAAAAAGAGCAATGGTATAGCAAGACATTTTTTTTAGAATTTTATGAAATCAACTTAAAACCTACATTATATTTGCACTGCAAAGCATCGAAATTGGGAACATGTGCTGTGTTTGTTTCTACTGTCTGCTGAACCCTCCATGTTGCCCGGAGCAGAAAGAGAGTATCAAGGGTTAATATTTGATGCTACAGACTGGCTCATTGGAATTTTTCCCTTTAGCGCATTGTCTGTTATGGACAGTGAGCAACAACAGCAGGATGCCAAGTCAAAGCTGCAAGTACTGGATACGCTTCTACATTGAGTTCTTGTGTGTACAAGCCATGACATCTGCAATTATAAGCATGTCAATATATGATACACATATACATTAATATTTACACTTATGGCAGATATTGTATGCATAGATCTGGCCGGTGGAATTACACAGAACAAAACAACACAGGTGTTCAGAGATGTGACATACTTTGGGAAGTGAGTCAGTATTAGTGTTCTCTTCTCCTGTGGCAGTTTGTCTTTCTCTTGTCTGGCCTGTTCCAGCAGCTGACGTCTCATTACAGTGAAGACAGAGCGCAGTAATGTGCGGCCAAACACCTGCGTGGTTTCATATCGATGCAAGCTGTCACAGAACTGGGGGACGTTGCAGTAGCAGAGCCACCTGCAGTAATAAAAACAGACATTTCATTATTTTTGCCTGAATAAATATAACTCAAAAGTATATTCCTCCACTATTCTAAAAAAGGGAAAAAATAACTCGAACATTCATTAAATGCTACTAGATAGATTTGTGTTTTGTAACATTTCTGGTGAATTCACAGGCTCTCCATTTCTATAAAAAAAACAACCTTGTCAGCTTTTTTGTGTTCGTTAAAAATCTTGTTCTTTTATAAAAAATAAAGTCCCCATAACAACCTGGCTACACCACTCGACTCAATATTACATTATAGTTTATTAAAAAGAGCAATAATACAAAAACAGGGAACAGGCTTAAAATGAACTTGGAGAGAAGTCAAGGACCCATGTACAGTCAGGGCCTAGGATCCAATAGGGCTACTTTGGGGCCCAAGATCAATATGAAGGCTAACAAAAGTTTCCCCCCCAACCACTACAGTATTTAAAGTATATCTAAATCCAATACTTTTTGCTCTCTGTGTCCCATTAGGTAGATTTCTATTTACCTTCTTTCCTGTAGACAAAACAGACACAACAAACACAATACACAAATGGAAGATTTTCCCTCTATTCCTGTTCTAGTGCCCATCACTTGTATTTCCCATCACTTTCAGTACCATTGACAGTGGTCACTAGTAGGGATGAGCACAGGTTCAGACTGTATTTATGGTACTGATAAATATAATTTAATGAAATGTCAACTAGAAGAAATCTAGAAGAAAGTTCACAACAGAAGGAACTATACAGTTTATAGCATGTTTGGTTTGACATGCTTGTTCAGATGTACTGTATTTACCATACTGATCTGTGCAATTAGCAAAATGTTTGCTTTAACAACCCCATTACCAGCAAGTTACACCCCCTTCCTTTTCAGGCCATTTTTCAGTGCTGTGAATGACAACTAATTTCAATTCATTAAAAAAAAACCTGTTTCCCTTACTTTGTTATAAATCTTAAAATTTAAATGCCAGGACATTACAAACACCCCCAAAAATGTTCCCTTTTAAGATAGAAGTAAAGATAGAAGTCACCGGCACTCACTGCTGGTGACTACTATCTTTACTTGGATTGTTACACAGCGCCATCTGTGTCGTCATTTCGAGCACCAACGGACATTTCATTTAGTTCAAGCGCTGTATTGTGTGCAGGTGATTTGGGGTGTCTTCTATCTAAAATGCTTTTTAGACAGAAGACACCAAAAGGGCTAATTATTTTGCCACTTTTATTTTTTAAATGAAGCATGCCGGTACAGAAATATTTAAAGCATGCTTAGACTTTTTTTTTTCTCTGCTAAAACCTCTGTGTTCTCACCTTTGATCAGGCTGCAATCCTCTTTCCACTTCCTCTGTTGTGAGGGGAGGGATCTCAAATATGAATAGTACTACTGATTATATTTCTGATCGCTGTGATTGGCCATCACAGTAATCACAAGGCACAGAGCAGAGCCACTCTAATTGGCTCTGCGCCTTTTGCCTGTAATCTTTACTGTCTAATGACAGTGCAGTCACAAGCATTTAGCACACGCAGCTCTGGAAACAAAGATGTTTAAAAACGTCCACTCAGTTTAACAACACCCCTGAGCGGCCAGTCAAGAGGTTGATAAAGTGTAGTTCCACTTTTGCAGCCAAACCGGAATTACACCTATTTTACATGTGTTACATGTTCCCGATCACATAGCATAATTAAATTGTTTTAATTGCTGCTTACATTTTTATTTGCTGAAAAATCGTACTTAGCTTTCCTCTTCTACATAATGTTAGGGAGGGATGTGGGGTGGTGATGTTTACCCCAATTAACCTTGTTTGTACTGTGCTGGCAGATATCATTATCAGTTGAAGCTAGATGTGTGGTCTGTGTGTCAGACCTAACTAAGGGTAAAGTTCTCAAGCTTTGCATGTTACATTGCATATTAATGCACTTTTAATAAATTGTCCCTCAATTTGTCCCTTATCTTCACGTTGCCATCTATTATAAGCAATAGAAGCTGCTTGTAAGTGTGCTATGTATAAACCTGCTCCATAGAAACTACTAAAAAGGTAAGAAATATTTAAAGTTAATGGGAACACATAACAAAGATATCGCAAGGGTTTCTCAAATCCGACTGCAAAAGTGGAAATGCCCTTTCAGCAATCCAGGCAAGGGAATGTTAGCTCAACTACGGAATAAAAACATTACCTGGTGTAGTTGACTTTATATGCAGCAATGTCTTCTGTGGGGGATCTTTGCCTTCCCTGTGATGGAGTTTCAAGATGCCAGTAGTTGATACGATTCAGAAACATTTTAGCCAGTTCTATAATAGTTTGTCTTTCCTTGGCAGGTAGATGACTAAATTTGTATTGTACAAAATTATTTACACCCTTTAAGGAGATAAAACAAATCGAAAATGGTCACATTAAAATACAATTAAAAACTGTTTTAGCTGCCCGGATTTCTAGTTTGCATTTTTTGTTACATTCTTTGTAGTTAAGGAACGCCAATACATTTTACAAATATACATCAGATTTTATAAAATGGAGATTTGTAGATTGTTGTTTTGATTTATATTGATCAACCTGTGGATAAACAAAACTACAATAACATGATTTCCACATAGGAGATTGCAGCAATTTTCACAGCAAGTTTTACAAACTGGGAGTCATGGGTACAATGTATAGAAATGAGGAAGAACATGTATTGTGCACAGTGTCTACATAGGTGTTAGCTTTCATTTTCTAGCCTGCAACGGAAAAAACACAGCAGGAAGAGAACTGGTTTCTTTTCCCTATACCCACAATATAAGTTAAAGGATATGAGTACTTTTGATGCACTTATGCTGTTTACGCCCTACTCAATCCCCAAGCACCTTTGTAATATACAACACTATGATATTCACTATGACACTTCCTTGGCACAACACTTCCACCGTTCAAAATCTTCCCATTTTTTTACTTCACCCCTTACACTTGTGGCCCAAACTCTATTGATGCCAATAGATAACTTTCAACAGATTGACATGCTGCAGGCAGTCTTTCCATTAAAGTAAATGGCACTCCATTCTGAGCCTGATGAAGGGGTACTGCTGAGACCCCGAAAGCGCTTGTATTGGATGGCGATTTGTCAATAAAGGACTTTTTGCTTCAAAACTTTTGGTGTGCTGGTGACAATCCTTTCTATTCTAAAGAGAGGACGGGTGGTGACAGCAAGCTGTATTTCAGGTAAGTATAGTACTTTAAAGAAATGCAAAGGTTAAGGGCATGGGAAAAAAAAAGATTAGGACACTAAAGCATAACTTGGATAAATAAGTGTGTGGCCCAATTGGCTCCCTTCCGTTCAACAAAAGTCAATTTTTTCAGATGAAAAGTGACTGCACGCTTACAGCAGAATACGAAAGCCTGGTGGGTGGATTCCCCCATCCATGATAAATGCTAAATAAGCATTTTTCCTTCGTCCGCCCATGAAAAATCGAATTGAAAAATCAAAATGTATATGTCTAGCTTAAGAGAGATCTTTTTCTGTGAGCTGCATAAACCCCAAAACCCAGAGCTCTCAATATACATACTGCAACTTTCAGCTACAATGTCGGAGCTCCGGCACAGCCCCCCTTCTCTCTCCTTCATTGTAATGCAAGAACTTAATCTAATTTATAAAGAGACACAAAGGGCAGAAAAACATGGCAAAGCTAAAAGAAAATGTATACCCTATTTAAAACAAGGTTCGCTTTTAGATACAATTCAACTTTCTAACTGAAGTCCCAATCTGAATATTGAGGTTTCGAGGTGAGAGGTTCATGGGGCACAAAAGATATACAGTATAGAGACACATTTTAGCGTTAGCTTAGATATAAAACAGGTACAGTTAAAGGAGAACTATGGGGTTAAGTCTTTTCCCCATAGTTCTCCTTAGGGTAACGGGAGGATACAAACTAGCGTCCTCCTGTCACCCTAGGGCTCAGTATACCGCGAGCCACAGCTCGCGGTATACTGAGCCCTAGGGTGACAGGAGGACGCTAGTTTGTATCCTCCCGTTACCCTAAGGAGAACTATGGGGAAAAGACTTAACCCCATAGTTCTCCTTAGGGTAACGGGAGGATACAAACTAGCGTCCTCCTGTCACCCTAGGGCTCAGTATACCGCGAGCCACAGCTCGCGGTATACTGAGCCCTAGGGTGACAGGAGGACGCTAGTTTGTATCCTCCCGTTACCCTAAGGAGAACTATGGGGAAAAGACTTAACCCCATAGTTCTCCTTTAAAGTGTTGCCCATGGTTCTTATTACCATTACCGTATTCACGTGTAATAGCCATAGTAACATTTCAGTAGGTACCTAAGATGGTGGTAAGATGGATGGTAAGCCCTAGACACCTGACACAAAATTTAATCTTGGTTCGCAGCAAACACAAACTACAAAAAGTATCACTTTAACAGTACTAAACACCTGACACCTTGGCTTTCTTTGCAATGTCTCTAAAGGAAAGACACTTTTAAGGGTTATTATGGTCTGTCTGTCTCCCTTTGTTAATTGCCTTTTTCTTGCCATTTTGAGAGCATTATACTACTCTCTGCAGTACAATACTGTCCAAATAGAGCTTAAAGTGACATTAAAGTCAAAAATGTTTTCCCCTCCCCCCAATGTTAATGTAGTAACAGTCTGTTCAAACACTGCTTTTATACAGACAGAGGGCTTGGGAGTAATCAACAAAAGTTGGGATACCTGTAGGAATTGTTAGCATAAACTTTCAAGGCTAAATTTACATTACCGCAGACCAACTGTGAGCTGTTAACCCATTACTTCTTCCCTGAAAAATACCTTTTTGTATAACCTAAACTTTTTTTCTAAATCTTTTTGTTCTAAATCTTTTTTGTACTGTATATATATTATACCATTAAAAGTGTTTTGTCACCTGTTGATCCTTCCAGAAATCTACTGAGCTTTATACTGTCTGCCTCTGCTGACTGTTATCAGTTAGCATTGTTCCCAGTTTTTTTTAAACACATCTTGTCCTGAGATATAATATAAGATATGATATAAGGAAGTGAAGATGGAAGGACCTTCTACCTAAATAAACCTCAGCTGACGCTTTTCATCAAAAGCGTCAGCTGAGGTTTATTTACCCAGGTTGGGGTTAAAAGAGCAATATTTCATACTGCTGTCAAGCACTTGATTCATGTGAGTGTGTTTTGTTTTTATGTATTTTAAATATTTGGAATTACAATATTAGCCTTTATTCTGCATCTTTTTACCATGTGGGAGGGGAGATTCCAAATATAAAAAGAAATAAGTGGTCTGTATGTAAGTAGTTCACTAAAAGGAGATCACTAGGAGTGCTGCACAGTTTTTATTATTCATTATATCATACATTAAACACCTTTTTAACTGCAGCAGCTATTATTCAGGCGTTTCTATCATCTAAAATAACCCTTCAGATATTACATACTGTATTTATAAAATACAATAGCTGGCAGGGGAGATTCTTTCATCCACGCTGTTTAGTGTAGACAGAAGAAATTGGTTTATTTTCTAACATGGTATACCCAGCTTTAGTTTCATGTCCCTCTAGTCTGAGCTTGCACATGGCCGTGGACTCGCCAACCCTTGTGTGACACTGCTGGGACAGTTATCAAGGCCGGCCCTTTCCATTTAAAGGGTGGGGAGTGGGTCAAATGCCCCTTCATACCGAAAAGTACCAGGTACTTTCTTCACCCTCGGTGGCCGAACGGGCACTGGGGAAGTAAAGGAAAGGTAACTGTGCCTCTAGAGAGGGGAAATAAATAAATCATTTAATTTGCCCTGCAGTATGTTAACCAGTTTCTGCTATTATTATATTTTTGTTGATTTGTTAACTGTTCTCCACTGACTAAAATCCAAACTAACCAATATCTTATGCTAAGAGGGTTTATAAGCACAAAGAATGCAAAGCTACACAGTCTGCCTTATTAGAACTGTCTGTTGTGTCAGTGAAGCAGTAATGATTTTAGAATGACAGCCTTGATTCAGCATTCCATGTTTTAATATGTGCAGTTATGTGAATGGGAATCTGAAGTGAACAAAGGAAGTCATGCACACCATCACTGCTAAAATGAGTGCACAACAACAACAGCATTGAAGAAGAAATGTTAGAACAAACACATTGAAAGCATTATAGTGGATCTAAACATATTTAGACAGTATGCTATGACTGTTTATCTTGCAGCCGAAACATTGAATGTAGATTTTGATCTTTATTTATTTTTATGAGACTAGTAATATTCTGCTAGCTTGTAACCGTTTGATTTTTGCAACAATGTTTGACATTGCATTACTGCACTGGGGATACATCTCGTTTTCCCACAGGCATCAAGTTTTACATCAATTGTAATCTGATACTGATCTGGGATGTGAATAGCCTGATATTGGAAATAATGGAATTTATAATCTGTATTCTGTAGATTGTTTGTGTTAGTGCCTCCTACGTAAATTAATACATTTTCTAAAAACAATCTTTTCTGATGGTTGTTTTCCGATATAGTTACATACAATTATCAAAGCAGTAATGAGGGAGTTAATGGATATTAGTAAGTCACTTCCAGTCTTGCTTTATTTCAGGTGATACATTTTAACAATTGTTCAGATATGTGTCAAACCTGATGAAGTGTTGACGGTAGGCCAAAATCGTTGTAAATTGACAACTTGACAGGTGTCATACTACTTAGGCATGTCCTGAGTGTGCTTTTGGATTGATTATTTAGGGTTAGTTCACACCATATGCAGTGCGTTCTGGTCCGATTCTGGCCGAAACGCACTGCATCGTATTGCGGCCGGCTCACTTTTTTGCCGGGCTGGAGGGGCGTGGCAGGCCATTGAAGTGAATGGCACCGTAGCCACGCCTTCCGGCCACAATGCAATCGTCCGCACGGGAGTGCGGTACGATCAAAATAGTGCTTGCAGCAGGGATATGCCTAAGTATTGGCCCTAGAATTATTGCTCTTACTCATGCACGGCGATACCCAACATGTATAGCGCAATCGTCTTTTTCGTACGTAGGCGCTCCCAACGCGTGTTTATGTGAAGATGTATTTACAGCTCAGTGACCGAAAATCCTATAGAACGGGGACGTGATCGTTGATTGGATGTTCGCCGCTCTCTTCCCCAGCTTCCTGCTGTCACCTGACATGCTGCTCCCGGGAAACATGGCGGGGTGTCACTTTACCAGCCCGTAGAAGCAATCTGGCGACAGCTGAGTCACCAGAATTGCTTCTACTGTAAAGCTGGCTGCCAGCTCTACAAATATCCCGTCATGGGTCATGAAGGTGTTAAGTCCTGTAAGTTGCAATCCACATGATGCAAAAGGAAATGTGACTCATCAGACCAGGCCACCTTCTTCCACTGCTCCATGGTCCAGTTCTGATGCTCACGTGCCCATTGTAGGTGCTTTTGACAGTGGACACTGGCAGCATGAACACCCTGACCGTTTTTTGGCTACGCAGCCCTTACACAACAAACTGTGATGCACTGTGTTCAGACACCTTTCTATCAGAATTTGCATTCATTTTTTCAGCAATTTGAGCTACAGTGGCTCTTCTATTGGATCGGACTACATGGGCCAGCCTTTGCTCGACATGTGCATCAATGAGCCTTGGCCGTCAATGCCCTGTCATTGATTCACCGGTTTTCCTTCCATGGACCACTTTTAGTAGGTCCTGACCACTACACACAGGAACATCCCACAAGAGCTACAGTTTTGGAGTTGCTCTGACCCAGTCATCTAGTCATCACAATGTGACCCTTTTCAAAGTCGCTCAAATCCTTATTCCTGACACATATTTTTCATGATTTTTAAAAAAATCTTTGTTGGGTGGAGGGAGTAGTCTTATAGATCATTTACAGCAGTACCCGAACCTGCGTACGGATCCACTGCTTGGAATAAGTGGTTAGTAATATCCAATTGCTTAGATAGCCCAATAGAACAATTACATTAAATCACATTAGCTGCAGTGGCCATTGCTTGAATCATTCAGTTTTATTCAAGTTTCTATAAAATTTGTATTACTAAAAGATGATTGTGCTGATGCAATAGGCTCTGTATTACAGTATACAGTATATACATCTTATAATTCCATACTTCATGTTTACACTATCCATTAGTACATGATGGAAAGATTATTGTACTGGACGTTGTAGTCAAAGGATATTGACCTATAACAGGTGCTTTTCTTTTGTCAGAATCCTGAGTAGGAGGTAAAGATCACCTCCATTACCCAAGACTAACTTTGGTGTAAAAACTGAACTGATATTTTATGTCCCAGCGCTCATGCTGAGCAGGAAGATTGGCCTGTTTCCTGTCAACTTAATTTTATTTATTAAAAGCATGCTGTCAGGAGAGGACCACACAGACTGCCATTAATGAACTCGCTTTTCAAAGGCTAGTTCCCTTGCTGCAATATTGATGGTTTGGCTTTATTGCTGTCTGCGTAGCTGACCTGGATCAACTATAGAAGTAAGGTGGTCTGACACATTTCTGACACTCATTTAAAATATGCTTGTCCTGGGTCTGTGATTCAAAACTACTTAAGTTGGTGATACTCTGGAATGAAGGTAGACATTAAAGGAGAACTATGGGGTCAGTGTTTTTCCCCATAGTTCTCCTTAGGGTAATGGGAGGACACAAACTGGCGTCCTCCCGTTACCCTAAGCTCAGTATACCGCGAGCTACAGCTCGCGGTATACTGAGACGCCGCAGCCGGAGTGGATCACGACTTAGATGACGGGATCCGCCCAGTTGCGTGAGTGACAGCTGGCTCTGCCTATCTAGAGGCAGAGCCAGCTGTACCCGCCCCCTCCCCCGTCCGTTCCGCCAGTCAGCGCTGGCAGATCGGAGCGGGGAGAGGGGAATCCAGCCCCTCCCCCTGTCACGGCAGAGAGCCGTGACAGGATCGAGAGGCGAGCGAACCCGGTATGTGTTCGCTCACCTCCCGATCTACTGAGCCGACCTGTGACAGTCTCATTGTCACAGGTCGGCTAGAACTATGAGGTGAGTGAAAAGCACTCACCTCATAGTTCTCCTTTAAGGTAAAAGATTTCTTCTTTTTTTTTTTTTTTGCTTGTTGCTCCCTTTGGGGGCCAGTCATTGGGAAAGGGAGTAGTGAAAAATAAAGAAGATAAACAGCATTTCCCAATGAAGTACTTTTAATCCTGTATTCCCTCACTGTCTGTTCCAAGTGGCATCTGTCACCAGAAAGGTAAGTGAGGGAAAATGTTCAAACGTGAACACAGAGGAAAACAAAGGTTCTAACCACCCCCACACAATCTAAAACTAGAAAAGGTTTTGGCTAGACTTCTAGTTGAAGTTCCTAGATGTTTCAAAGCCCCGGGCAGCATATCTATAGTACAGGAGGCAATCAATGCGTACTGTGCACAATAAAGTTAAAAGGGGACAGTCACTTCGGGGGTCATGTATATTTGAACTAATAGGAAAAAGTCATTATGACTGCAATTACCTGTTCAATGCTAGGCTTCTCAAACGGAGGGCTTTCCAATGATCCTTCCACCACAGGTTTCCCCATTTGTAGAATGCATTTTCTTAAAAGCTTTGTGTAAAGAGGAATAAAAAAAGATTTGCTTGAGTTTATAAATCTTTAAGATAAACCAACTCATCTCCCTTGCCCTGTTGAATAAGCATTTATCAACATCAAATCTACCCTGAAGTGTATTAAGTACCTTAAATAGATAGAAATAGACTTGTTTCGTATCAGCGTCTTCTTCCTTGTGTACACAAGTGAACAGATATTCCACATCGAGAGCAATTCCCAGAAGTCTATTAATTTCCTCCTCTGACACATTCTCTAAATGGGAAACGTGTGATGCTAAAAAACAGCAAAAAGAAAAAAGCATCATGAAATCCATGGATGAAGTCTTTTACGTGTAAGTGTGGGCAAAATCAAATATTACATATGCAGTCAGTTGGTAGCATTAACACAGTGTTTTTTGTTTTTCCTGAGTGCTCCCTGTAACCTAGTATTATCAGCTGTTGATCCTGCCAGGAGATCTGTTAGTTTTACAGTTTCTTTAACAGGGTAACAACTTTATTAGTTCTGCTAAAAAAAAGAGGCAGCAGAACTGTCACCCTGTAGGCGTTGTGGTCTTAGATGGATAGGTAGTTTAAATGGACTAAATAAGAGACTAACAAATTAAAACCTGAAGCTTGACATACACACATTTTTCTTGTTCAGCCCAAAAATCACTTGTTTATCCCATCCACCCTAAATAGCAAGGACGGAGGAATGTCCCCTGCTGGCTACTGTATTCTAAAAGCCAGTGTCCATGGTTGTCAGATTCCAATTTTCCACCCGGCTCCTTTGACAAAAGTTGATGGAAAAATCCAAGGGCCACCAATGGGTGGAATTTCAGCAGGATACAACCGACATTCGGCAAGTGTATTATTAGGGTTGCACCGATATATCGGTCGCCGACACATATCGGCCGAAAATGGCACTTTTGGCATAACGCCAAAAGTGCAATTTTCCTGCCGATACATCGGCGCATCCATGATTTCTTTCCTTCCCGCTGGGCACTGCTCTGTGTCCCAGCGGGGAGCAGAGAAAGTGACAGCCAGCCGAGCGTTGCGGGAGGAGAGCGCTGTGAGCGGCCGGCGTCTCCTCCCACACCGCTCGGCCTCCTATTACAGTCCGGCAGAACGGTGTGTGGGCGGAGACAGGCCGCGCTGTCACAGGAGGCTGAGCTCTCCTCCATACACCGCTCAATCAGCCTCCTGTGACAGCATGTCAGAGAGGAGAGCCAATGCAAACACTCAGTGATCAGTGATAGCTGAGTGTTTGTACATAATTGAGGGCATGGCATGTTTACTATATCCTCAATAATGTTCATTCATAGTTGTAGTTATAGTAAACATACTCGGTCCTCATGTTATGAATGAACAGGAACACTCAGTATGGAGGATTCCTGTTCATTTGTAAAAGGGGATGCAGGTTAGTATCGGTGCATCCCTAGTTTAGACCTCTGATATTTCCCCCAAGTAAAGTAAAAAATAAAAATATTTTAAAAAAGAAATTAATAAATAAAAATAAATATTAAACAATTTAAATGTTTTTAAAAATAAAAAAATATTTAAAACATTAGAAAAAATTAAAATAAAAAAAATTTTGGTATTGGTTTCGGCCTGGCAAATTTTTTTTATTTCGGTTTTAAAATTTCCATTTCGGTGCACCTCCAATTATTATTGTCATTTTTATTATTATACAGGATTTATAACAGTTGCAGTACCACAATTTACAATATAAAGGAAGTCAGTACAGGTACACTACTATTAAAGATAAGATGGTTATGAGGGCCCTGCCCATGAGAACATTATGTATGTCCAGCTTTATTCTAGTTAATATTTTTTAAGTAGTTGCAGCAACATTTTTTTTTGTCTTTCAGAAAAAAAGGTTTAAACCACATGAATAAAAGCTGAATTTTGTCAACACGTTTAGCAGTGTAATATGGTTTATTCCAAACCTGTAATTGCCACTTTTAGTGGATAGGTTGGCCTGTTAAAGGAAGAGAAAAAATAAATGATCTACACTACTTTGTTAATGAATTATATGTGTATTTTTTTTATTCTATTTTAAGAATGACTTACTAAGAAAATACTTACAATGAACTTTTTTTAAAAGTGTAACTAGTACCATGGCATACCAAAAAGAGGTACAATTGCCAAGGGTAGAATATGTTCTTGCTGTAGTAATAACATTTCCCCAAACAGTCTACAGTAGATAAAATAATAATAAAAGAGAGAGAGAGTGTAAGCTCTAACATTTGGTTACACAAATGAATATCTCATCGTGTTACTGATTTATCAGGTGACACATTTCAATAGAGGAGCTGCTGATAAGTTGTAAGGTATAGTATCATCAAATCCTTAGTGTACTGCTTGCATCTGGTTTTATAAGCACCATAGTAATTGAAGCCGTGTTGAGGGATAACTGAATCTGGTAGGCAGTTTGCCTATGCTCACAAGTGCTAAGTGGTTTGTGTTCCAGCCAACACAAGATTTCTGTTCACATGAGTTGGCAGTCAACATGTCAACTGTTTATTATAACTGTAATGCATATTCTACAGCAGTTCATTTTCCAAAATGTTGTCACAGAGTGCACTGAATCATTCACTGAAGTCTTTGCCCACGTGAGCTTACAGTTTAATGCCTCAACCACAATCACACACTCCCCCCAAAAAAAAAAAAAAAGCAAACATGAGAACATGCATGTCTATGCAGATGGGCTTATAATGCAGTTTCTGAGCAGAGGAAAGGGTGCTGCTTTACCAAGAGTGTGCGAACAGCTGCGGCATGGCTCAGTGAGGCTGACAACGGTCTGCTGAAGATCCATTCTTGGCGGTGTGGGGGGAGGATTTGGGTTCTTCCAGCCATTGCACTTGCATGTGTCATCAGCCTGAGATAACAAAAAAAAACATCCAGTTTACTCACCTTTATTTTGTTCACAAACAAGATAACTGCCTTATAAATTGTTGCAGCCATTTTTCCTGTGTAATTTACACTTTTAAATTAAGTTCAGGAATACAAGGGCAATCTGAATGAGGTAGTCAATGAGAACATCTATGCTCTGTTAAACTATTCAAGTAGCACTATGACCTCCCATTTGAAAAATTGCACCACAGCAATTAATTATAATTGCATCTGCACAGTTTTCTCTTAGCACCTAGTCTCTTAGGTGCTTGAATTACAATGGGAAAATATTGCAGGGGGTGTGGCTAGCAGCACTGTCACTGATGATTTACAAGCCTGTAGCTTGTAAACCAGCAATGGGCCACACCTAGACCTGCCCACTGCTTTCTGGATTGACAGCACTGCCTCTGTTGCTGAAACCCTCCCACTGTGAGCTCCAGTGTCTGGGAGGGGGAGCATGTGAGACACAAATGAAGGAGGATTTTGCTCAGTTAGTGAAAGTACAGAAAGTTGTTTGTTTACTTTATAAGGCTTTGCATCACATAGGAACTGGATTTGGGACTTGTTTAGACTGTCATACAGGGGCCTTTAGTTGTACTTTAAGAGTAGAGCAGCTGGTTTCCAAAGCCCTTAATAGCCAAAAAGGCCAAAATGAATAAGAGTGGGGCTAAATGTCAAGATGAGGGCTTTACATAAAGGTGGAAGCACTGTTCCAGCGTAGCTCAGCAAATCACAAGTTATGTAGTTGATGGTCTCATAAATCCAGGGGCTCATGCAGAATGTGTCAACTCCTCTCCATAGTTTAAACCTATAATTTCTAAAACAGTGTTGGGGAAAGGCATTTCCACATTGCTTTGTACTACACCAGGCCTGCCTGTCTGCATGAAGACCTCGTCCTTGCTTAGATACACAAAGCAATTACTAAATACAGTGGTTTTTCCAACATGTAGAATGCTTAGAAATTAGATCAGTGGGCCCTCAATACAACTAATATGGTTCCTCATGGAGCTAACTTTATTAGCTGTGCTATTTGTTTCACTTTTTCATCAAAGAGTAAAACTTTTCTCGGATCTCCCTTACCCAGAGCCTGCTTAAAACTATTGGTTTATATCAAGTTCGGGTTTGCATCAAGATGTCAAGACGAGATGAGACAGGGTCTCAATCATTATAATGTACACATTGCGGTAACAGAAATGACCATTAATTTTCATATGCACTGAGCTACCATTTGAAAGGACCCCATTTAACTGTCTTGAATGGCAAAATGCAATGTAATGCATTCAAAAAGCAGCAACACAACATAGCTTTCTGGTAAGAACAGGTATTTTTGGAGGTCTGTGCATTTTGTCTGCTTTGTAAAACATAGTAAATGCATGAAAAGGCGAATACAGTACAGTACATCAATAATAAAATTAATAAATGGCTTTGTCAGTATCAAAGATGTGTCCTGAGGTCTAAAATAGAGCCTGGAACTGTGTTTAAACAGCACAGTAATTATGCATTTGATTCACTTGCTGCCAGCCAGGCACTCGTTCCTCATAAATCATTCATCTAGTTATTTAGCGCAACTGTACAGATGGATATCTTGCCTATAAGTTTTACTACTTATTTACAATGGAGTTATATAGCTTTGTGGATTTATAATTCATACCCTTTGACTGAATGGACTGTTATCAGTATTCCTGTCATTAGTGCACATTTGGATACACTTGTGGCTCTTGGATATCCTGATAAGGACAAGTGAGCAATATAACTATGCTGTTTTTTTTTTTTAAACTAAAGATAAACGCTAGAGCAGCATTTCTTAACCTTCTTTTTAGCCGTGGCACCCTTTATAAGTATGCAAAATCTCAGGGACCCTAGTATAAAATGTAATAACTGTACATATAAAAAATGACGTGTTGTCCCTCCAAAATCCATCCCTTACCCTTATCTATGATATGGGACCAGGTATAGTTTTTAAGGGGGAACCCCCAAGCAAAAATGCAAAAAAAAGTGGGGTTTACATTATGCTTCACATCATAATCCCCCCTTTCACATCAGCATCTGCCCTCTTACATTAGACTTCCCCTTTACATCCAGAGCCCACCTTCTTATTAGGAGCCTCTCTCACACTAGGAGCCCTCTTCAAATTCCCCTTTTTCACACCTGGAGCCCCCCCATTCACATCAGAAGAACTGTTCTCTTGGGAGGCATGACGATGTGAACATTTCGGGGCAACCCTGAGGAATTCAGAAGGCACCCTAGTTGAGAAAGGCTGTGCTAGAGAATAATTTATGAGAATTATTAACAAAGTATCATAAGAGGAGTTTACTATCACTCATCAGATACTCATACATTGGGTATACCTTCCTATTTTTGCGCTGAAAAAAAATATACAGGCATTTGTTTTACTTATGTTTCTATGCCTTCTAAAAACAGAAATGCAATAAAAAGTATATTTAATAGATAACTAATGTTTACCAGCCTATCAGAATATGGGAATATCACATGCACCCCTTCAGTCCTTCACAGAGCCATATATAAACATTTTAAGGCAAAACCTCTATTGCGTGTGTATTTACTATAAACATGCATTCATATATGTTTATACAAATTGGTTGTGAATAATAATAATAATAATTTCACAGGGACATTTTGCTGCTAAGCCAGTATACCTAAGCTTCTAACACTGAATATTTGTAGTCAATGAGATAAACACTAAGCTTGTATAATATGAAATCATTGTAAGAGATGAATGATAAAAGAAGAATACTAATTGGCAAAGTCGGACATTTCAGGAACAATAACACTAACACTGTCAATGAGATCTAGGGGTGGCTAGTAACGATGACATGATCTAGGACAAATTAATTTATATATAAAGAGTGTTTATGCACATTATTTACACAACACCGTGGCCCACTGGACATGCAAATTAATTTACTTTGTAAATCACTGTTCCAACATCAGAAACTGCAGCCTAGATTGGCTGCCTGGAGAACAAATTTCACAGCATTATAATGTATTACAACAGTGGGGCAGCGAGATCAACAGTGATATATGGCACGCCACTCTGTACTATTATTAGATGCTGCGGCATCAATGAACAGCTACAGGGTGCAGGCGAGACGTGTGCTGAATATCGAAGTCTTACAGTCCCTAATAGTGGGACAGAGCTGCAGGTAAAAAGGAAAGTGAACTGACCAGTCCTGCTCTTGCAAACATGAAATACCAATGAGGTAAGCCTCAGTTTCCAGACAAGGGATCTTTTCTGTGCAGATGACATCACAAGTGTTCCAGCGGAAGTGCTGATGGGCAACATGTGAACAACCATTCATTAAGCATCAATGGTGCAGTCCAGTGTTCCTAAACCCTAAAAAACGATGTACCCATTTATAATAATAATAATACATTATAATATGTACAACAGGGCTGGACAAATCCCAGGAATCCGTTAGCCAATGCTCCTCACAAAAATACAGCTAACATCTAACTTTTGAGGTTTTCTCTAGTTGTTGTCAATGGAGCTGGCACCTCAAAGACTGGCTCTGAATTTCTTATTAATTTGTCCACCCAGATGTATAAGGTACACTCTAGTAACAACGAAATAATCCTAAACAGACATTGTAATTTGCCCATTCAGGGCAAAGTGACACTGGCTGTGTAAAGGAGGCCCCCGACCCAATGAAACGCACCCGGCCAGCCCTCCCCGCCAATCCTTTTGCAGCCTCAGTCAGTGAAAATAAATGATGCTTCTGGGACAGCATGTGCCCTCCTACCACGTGATAGTGCTCAGGGCCATCAACCAATCTCTAGGCCCATGCATTGACATATGACAGAGGGATACAGTATATGAGTAAAATCTGTATTGCATTTACATTACATGCCACCGAAAACTTGCTGCAAGGTGTATTGCATTTACAACATATGTATTCTACATATAATATATGTAGATGCATTTGCTAAAAATACAATACACCTTGCAGCAACTCTAACAAAAAAAAATAATTTCTGCCTGCATACTCAAATGTCCTATTTTGTCCCTGTCAAGATGGCAGCACTGCACTTGAGGAGGGGGGAGGGAGAGGAAGAAAAAGCAGAATATCACACCGAGATGGAGGTGCCGGAATTACACAAGTGTCGGCATATGCACCCCAGTTCGCATGCTCCACCTCTGCCATTACCTTACTGTTTTCCTCTACCCCCTGGTATGCTACTGTGTACTGGTTGGGAAGCACTCATTTAGAGCAGCCTTTCTCAACCAGAGTGCCTTGAAATTTTCACACAGCGTCAGGCCTCTGATGTGAAAGAGGGGGACTCTGATGTGAAGGGGGGCTTCTGATTTGAAGAGGGTTTCCTAGTGTCAGAGGGGGTCTCTGATGTGAAAGAGGGGGACTCTGATGTGAAGGTGGGGGGTTCTGATTTGAAGAGGCTTTCCTAGTGTGAGACAGGGGAATCTGATGTGAAAGAGAGGGACTCTGATGTGAAGGGAGGATTTTGATTTGAATATCGTTTCCTAGTGTGAGAGGGGGGAAATCTGATGTGAAAGAGAGGGACTCTGATGTGAAGGGAGGATTTTGATTTGAATATCGTTTCCTAGTGTGAGAGGGGGGAAATCTGATGTGAAAGAGAGGGACTCTGATGTGAAGGGAGGATTTTGATTTGAATAGGGTTTCCTAGTGTGAGAGGGGGGAATCTGATGTGAAAGAGAGGGACTCTGATGTGAAGGGAGGATTTTGATTTGAATAGGGTTTCCTAGTGTGAGAGGGGGGAATCTGATGTGAAAGAGAGGGACTCTGATGTGAAGGGAGGATTTTGATTTGAATAGGGTTTCCTAGTGTGAGAGGGGGGACGCTGATGTTGTGTTCTTGTGTGGGGTCTCCTGTTAAAATTCATACCAGACACCAATCTGGGATAAAGGACTGGTATGGATTTTGGAGGGAGCCCACATTATTTTTTACATTTTAGAAAGGGGCGCCTGAAGATTTAGTTTTTTTTTTTAAA